GCTGTGTACCATGGACTACTTCGTTGACTATTGCGCACCTCCAAAGTACTGTGTTATACAGTGTGTTACTGTGTAAATAGTATGTGAAACTGTACATATTGTAATTTTAGTGAATTTTTACCACGTAATATTGTGACAATAAACATTTATTGTGGACACATTACTAACACATGTATCACAGTTTCATGGAAAATTATGAACATTTTACTGTATACATATTGTAAAGGACACAAATATGCATCATATACGATAAAAGAAACAAATAAAACCGCATTGGAAATGCATAGAAAAAATATTTGAAAATATATTTGTGGCAACTCGCAGTGCCTGAATGGCCTGCACGACCGTGTCTGGGAGCTTCACACACGGGCGACCAGGCCCTGATGACGTCACAGCGCACCTTGTCCACACCCTCACAGCCAAAGTAAGTGGAATTTGGTAATTATTTTTACATAGACATGTTCAGGGACGGTAATTTATCATTTTGCAAAGAAAAATGATATTTTGAGGAACATTTGATGTCATGCACACTGGGGGAATTTCACAATAAACACAGTGCATCACACTGGTTACATGGGGGACACTCGTTTTGTATGACGTCCGTTTCACATGACGAACATGGAACGGATTAAATTCGTTATGCGAGGTACCACTGTACTTAAATTTTAATGCCACCCATTGAGCACCTTGAGGCATTATGCACAGTGCAGTAGTTAAGGAACAGAAAACTGGGATGTGAGAATGTCTGACATGATTGTAGGGCATTCAACAAAAACGTTTCAATTCATTGTCAATGTGCTAGATGCATTTCCCAGAGGTGCAGTTATGTCAATTATATAAAAATGGTGCCTATTTAGAATTGGACTGAACAAGAAGTGTATTAACTATTGTGACTTGACTTAGGTTAGCATAAAGTGCATGAACACCAAACCACAAACCACAAGATGACGAAACGACGACATTTCTTCATCTGATAATGGTCAGATCACATACGACCTGATAATGGTCCAGGACGGACCAGGAAACGTCGTCGTCTCTTCATCTTCTGGTGTGTGGTTTGGTCATATCTTCAGCCACGTTATTGTGACTTATCGTCTGCATGAACACATGAAAATACTCACGTGTACAGTTATATTCCAGCTTTCCTACCATAGTATTCCATTATTAATGGAAAATTCATTTTAGAAAGTGTGTAATCTTAAAAACCAAAATAATGATAAATGATTATGAATAATATTATAGAAACGTACATTTCAGAATCATGAAAATAAAAAGCAGACATTAGATTATACTCAGCAACTCAAATAGCAAACGTGGCGGCAATAATAAACTCCACATGTGCCATCCCCTAGCTAAGCGTGATATAGGGTGCGTGAGGCAAGTGTGCATGAGGCAAGTGTGCATGAAGCAAGTGTGCGTGAGGCAGGTGTGCATGAGGCAGGTGTAAGACATAAGGCTCAAGTTTGAGCAAGCAGTGACACACAATTATGGGCTCTGTCTTACCCACAATGGACAAGCTGGCTCCTCCCTGTCAGGTATGAATGTCACAGCAATGAGTGAGCAGAAAAAATAAAATAAAGCAAGCCTGGGAACTCAAAATTATTTCCTAACTATCCTCAACATGTAAGAAATTTTGGCTGTAGTAGTAATAAAGATGAAGTACACTTAGTCACACGATGTCTCCCACTGATCATAAACCTTCCCTTGTGACCTGAGACTGCACACAATACTCTAGGTTCAAACTGAACTACTGTAGTTTTATCAGATGGGAGTGAAACTAACAATTTTTATATATAATATACACTTTAAATACATTAATACTAAGACTGTAGCTTATGAGACTGCAGAAATTTAATTTTTTATTATGGATAAAACACTAATGATATCAGTTCTTCAGCAGTTCTACCAACAGTAATAAATTCAAAATCATGCAGCATTTACCATGGATCTTAATAATTACATAATCTACAGATAAATAAGTTTACACAGCTTAACTTGGAGAAATATACTGTACAATTTATAATACAACTGAAACATGGACAGAACAGAACACAACAGAAGACATAACAAAGAAACTGAACTAATTATTACACACACAGCTTGCAGAGCAAATTGAACCAAAAGCTTTATATTCTTGACTTGGAATATATAACGTGCACATCTTAGGTCTTGCTGTACAACAACAACTACTTCATTAGTGATATCCCATGCACACACACATAGCAGTGTAATGTTAGCTGCCTCATGTACACACTAAAATGCAAACTTATCTAATGAAATTAATACAATGTCTCTAACATCAAATGCCCCCAATCAAGCCTAATAAAAGTTTGTGTAACTTATATATACAATGAAACATGGGTCATGGTAAAAAAAATCCAGCCTAGATTGTTGAAAATTAACTTCATTTCCACACCTAACATGATATAGCCACTTTCAGTTATTAATTAAAAACTTTGATTTTGTAAATGAATTATATCAACATATATACTATAAATTACCTTAAGTCTTTCAAAACAGTGGCCATTAGTGTCCATTATGTTGTCTGGATATCTATAACATATATAATCCTCTGCTTTCAGTTTTCACGGCGTGCAGACTACCCATCACTCTAACCCCTTATACTGGTTACATGAATCCTATACATTACACCTTAACAAATCCAGAGTTTTGTATAGCAGACTAAATTTGCCCACAAGGCCTCCTTAAATTTTTTTAGGGCCTCCAGAGACCCTATGTCTTAAATTATTCATTGGTAATAGATTTCAAAGTTATTTCAAAGGTAAACTTTATCATAAAAATTGACTGTTGAGTGTAATAAAATGGATCTTTTCGATAATGATTTGGGACTCTGGATCATGGTCTGGAATAATGTGATCTGGATTTTGAAGACTGAAGTATTAATACATTACTCCTATATAGGTCTACCTTCCTTAAGTATGACAGCATTTAGGTCCAGGGTCTGGTACTAAAACAATGAAGATATTCAGTTATAGAGTACTGTATATATTTTCAAGAGTATAATACACCTTATGAGTTGCCACATGCAGACGTGTCAAACATTTATTTCCTCTTCACAAACTCCTACCACTTCTAATGTGCTACTGTATTCACTTCCAATCCTAGTTTTCATACACACACATTATGCATGTCCATCTTCTTCCTGTGCTTTCAGTTTCAATCAAATACATTCGATTCATCAGTCAAATGCCATTCATTCATTCAATGCAAACATGCCATCTCTGTGCTCATTTGTATGACAATTTTTTTCATTATACTGTATACTCTATCCTTAACACACCTGCTTCTCCAATTGTCAATATCTACTACTTCCATTCTTTACTTTATCATGCTCATGACACACCAGCATCTCACACATCAATACGTAGCAATACGAGGCCCCCATCACTTTCACATAGGCCTCCAGCTGAATCTCTATCTTGTTCTTTCTAACCAGGCTTTCACTGTACTGTATTAGGCATATTCTTTCCCTAACACACTACTTTCAATTCTGCTTATGCAAATTTCTCTGTTGTCAATCACATATCTCAGGTACTTCAAATGATTAACAACTTCAAGAATACTCTCATTCAACATTAATTTCAAGGATACAGTTCTTATCCTTCTCTAACCCCCACAACTTTTGTTTACAATTATTTGCTTTCACATACATCAATGCAACTATAAACTAATCTAGATAAAAACTGAGTCTCAGTGAGGTGTGGAGGGGTAGTGGGGTAGGTAGAGAAGTGTATTCACATAGTCATGCTTGCAGGGGTTGAGCTCTGCTCTTTTGGCCCGCCTCTCAACTGTCAATCCATCAGCTGTTACTAACTACCAACTAATTTTTTTTTCAAACCCACACATCCCCCAGGAAGTAGCCCATAACAGCTGTCTAACTCCCAGGTACTTATTTACTGCTAGGTAACAGGGGCATCAGGGTGAAAGAAACTCTGCCCATCTGTTTCTGCCGGCGGCTGGGACCGAACCCCAGACCCTGGGATTACGAGTCCCCAAGCGCTGTCCATTCAGCCACGGCCCCCCTGCTGGGTGGTGGGGGTGGGTACAGAAGTGTGAGTCAAGAGATGTGGGGTAATACAGTGAGTCAAGAGAGAGGATGTACAGTGTTGGAACGAGTGGAAAGGATACACGACAACCAGGATGTAAAGAAGATGATAAAGAAGTACAGAGGCTAGAGTGATGAGCAGATAATCTTCGTAATTTGATAAAGAAGAGGATTACTTATATTATACAGCGCGTCTTATACTGGCCTAAGAGACATGCGGCAGACCAGATATGTTGTTCGGGCTGCCTGGAGCGTAGTGCCATGATTATACCCCCTTGGAGAGAAGCTCCAAGAGAATAGAGAGGGAACACAATAATAAACATGGTTAAATGTATAATAGGTCTGTATGTTCCGAGTCAAGATCCCTGGCTTGAAAGCTATTTGTTTTCCTTTAACAGCCACTGTGGTACAGTACTGACATTAACACTGCCATTATGTCATACAAAATGCCCTGAATTTTTGTTTTAGTATTTTTTTTTTTTAGTTTTTATATTCTGTTTAATCTAAACAGGCCCCCCAAGGCCTGTTCAAACAGGCCTTGTGAGCCAGTTACGGTATATTATTTATCTCTATTTTGTTAAAATATGAAATGTCAAGGACACAAGGTTAATGGGGCAGGCACCAGGCACACAAAACAAGACACCTGGGCATTGTATGTTATAGTAGGAGTTTTAGCTATATTAAAATATTACAAGTCCTTCTGTTTCAATGGCACAATAACATAAAGAAGAGTGATTAATTTAGTAGGAAAATAACTATTGTGTGTGTGTGTGTATACACACACACACTACATACATACATACACACATACATACAGTATTAATAACTAAATACTAAAAGATTCATTACTGAGATTCCTATAACAAACTTTATCTAAATATATCTATACTTTTCCAAAATGCAAATTGATTATCTAGTCTTTGAATCACTTTACCTGTTGTCTTCCCAGGACGACGTCTGCGACCCGCCCCCATCACATCAAATGCTTGGCCTGTGTTGATAAGTTGCACCAACTGGTCCATGACCTCAGTGTTGCTCTGGTCGTTAGTGACGTCATGAAGAGCACGTTGTCTCGTGTCTCTCTCGGCGCGTTCTGCCTTGTCGCGCTCGGCACGCTCCCGAGCTTCTCTATCCCTCTGCCGCTTATCCTCCTCCTTGACAATTTGTTCTTTGGCTTTCTGTTACAAATTATACAAGATATAAGCTCATTCAAAGGCCATTACTATAAACATAATAAGATGATTAAATATAATTTCTGAGAAGAGGAAAAATGTTTACCAACTGGAAAAAATCAAAGAAATATTGAAGTAAATTATTGGTGAATATACAATAGAAAACTAATTATATTACAGTTGGCATTGCTCTAAATATAAAAAAAGAATGTCTGTATGTTTGTCTGTCTGAAGAAGGAGGCTGTACATTTGGATACAAATCTTCTATGATGCCATCATCATCATTTAATAATTGTCATTACTTATCAATTTCATCTTTATTAAGTGACAGTGTGGGCAGAAGCAGCATGGCAGTGCTGTGAGCTGCTGCTGTTGCATGTGCTGCTCCTAGTCACTCTCTGAGTACTGATGTCCTTACACCCAAGTGGGATGCTGATGAATTTTTCCTAGATGGTTTCTGTTTATTAGAAGCCTGAGGAAGATGTGAGCCCCATGTCTCCATGGGAGTTTTAAAACTTATGCGGTACTTTAAGGAAAATACAAATTTGGATGAAAAAGTGTCAAAAGGACTTAAAAAATAAGCGTTGAATGTAATGAAATAACAATTCCTGGGTGAGGAACTCCCTGAAGCTACCGTCTCTGAAGTAGGTGCCATCATTTAATATGGCACGTACCAGCTGCCATATTAAATGGCAGTTCCCTGGCCTACTAGGTACCAAAAGCCAGAACTTGGCACCCACACAAAAGCGCAGGGAGCTGTGGCCTTTATATATTTGGTTATTCATTTGTGCCACTACTGAGAAAGGCAGCTAGAAAGTTGGCAAGTCAAAACAAATTACAGCTGGCTGCCTCCGAGACTTAAGCATGCACTAAAGTGATTTGCATTATTCCCTTCACTTATGTCAAACAAACTGATATTAAAAAAAGGTGAAGGTACAGATTAGCATACAAAGTAATGAAAAGCCTTGAATCTGGGACCATGAGCTCATAGGCCTTCTTTTTCCTGAATACACAAATAGAGACGAGGACTCACAATAATGTGACTAAAATATGTTGACCAAACCACACACTAGAAAGTGAAGGGACTACGACATTTCGGTCCGTCCTGGACCATTCTGAAGTCAATTCGTCGATCAACGATGAAATGTCATAGCCCCTTCACTGTGTGGTTTAGTCTACACAAATGGCTTAATCAAAACTTGCAGAGCCACGGAACTGCAAGGTTCCACAGGATCAATTTGGCAAACCAATTTCACATCTCGGTCAACTCTCCCAGACATTCATGATCATAGTACAGCATTGTGTCATCTGATTGCTTACACTCATATCAATTAAACTTACTTTATATAATACAATGAATTCATTGATGTCTCGGAAGAAATCTTCTTGGGCATATTTAGTAACCTCAAAGGTGAATAATTCGGACACTTCGCTGTACTTCTTTTGCATCATTTCAAACTCGGTCTCAAGCAGAGCTATATCTTCTTCTGCTATTTTGTGAAACTCTTCAAACTTTTCTTGGAATCTGCAATTTTATAGAAATCAGTATTAAACAATGAAATTGTCAAAAGCTTCAAATTCTTGAGTCATTTCCTCTATACAGACAAACAGGGAATATGCAGTGATATCTAATATATGTTACGTTCTCCTTAGACCATCTGGAGCACTTCTTTTCTTCTGAAAAACATTTACGTCACCCACCTTTATCTCAAGATTACACTACTGATTTAATACCACATACAGTACTGTACAATTATATACCTAACTGTGACACATAATTAGTGTGTTATTAGAGTAAATTAATTAAAATAATGACACTGTGATGCCTCACTACAGACAAGTGTTAAGATGTAGGGAAAAACGAAGCCTCTATGGAATGGTTCTTAGTGAGAAAAGCAAGCAGTGAGTCACAAACAGGTCCAAGTGGTATGCCTGCAAAACATAGGGGAGAGAGTACCCCAGAGAAGTCATCACTACCTGTTATAATGGAAGAGGGCTCCCCTTTCAAACACTAACACCTCTCCTCCTCCTCCTCTCCCCCCCCCCTCCTCACCATCTTCCATATGCCAACAAGTCATCAATAAAGGTAAGCTATAACTTGTACATATTATAGTACAAAATATTTATGTGTATTATGTATGAAATGTATTTTGAAGTTAATATTTTTGGTAGTGTGGAACGGATTAATTCAATTTACATTAATTTTTATGGGAAAATTAGTTTCGGGTTTCGACCCGTCTCTGGGAATGGATTAAATTCGTAAACCAGGGTACCGCTGTATCTAAAAGCTAAGAACGTACGCATTCATGACTACTGACGATCGTCACAATAGGTACTATCTAAACAGGAGGATGGGTTGAATATTTGCATGTGCTTTCTCACTTCAAAATACAGTACTGAAAAAGTCCTTTCGAAAAATTTAGATTTTCAGTAAGTGCTTCTTCTAATTGTATTTGGAATTCTGTTTCAACTTTTGCATTACTAGAGCGAGTTTCTTCTTTAAACTGATCAATGAGTTGATCTACTTTAATTTCAAATCTTTCATTCCAATTTTACAAAGTGTTATCTCATATACACCAAATACTCCTAAATATACTAGAGAGAATAAAACAAACCTGTCCTCTGGATTCTGCTTGGTGTGTCTATGGAGATCATTGCCGATATTTTGTATTTCTTTCTTCATTTTGGCAATATTGCCCTTGACAGTATCAACATTTACACGTTCAGCATCTGCGAAGTGCAAAAGTCCATCTTCAAAGTCGGCACTATCTCGTTCTTCCCGAAGCATCGTCTCGGCAAGGTAATGTAGTAAGGTATGCCCTTCTGCATCTTTAGTGTTTGCCAACTTGGGTAGAAAACTGATGTCAAAGCCTAATGTGTCTGCATTTCTGGATCCTGCATTAAGAACATTGCCAAATTCAAGAATATAATACATAACTTTTTCAAACTTTTTGGAATTTGTGAGCTCATCAAGAGCCGCTTTTGTATTGACAATGTCTAGCCTTGTCTCTTTAACTAAAGATGGGTAATCGGTTTTGAAGACCAGATTTTTCAACAGTGGCATTAATTTCTTAATCTTTCCAATTTTATGCAAGAACAACTCTCCCTCCGCTAAATCTTCCTCATTTTCTTCCAAATTGACCACTTTTTTAATGATTTCATGATCAGGTAAGGATGCTATTAAAGTCTGGAGAGTAGAAGAATCAGCATTACCAGCAGAGTCTACACAGAGAATTGATTCATCACACTGAAGTATTGCTAGACTTATATCATCTAAACTCATGTGTTTGAACTGGCCACGGAGAGCAATGGAGAGGTTCTGGTTAGTTTTTTGGTCTAGTACTCTTAACTCCTTATCTTTCTTGGCCGTCTTTTCCACTTGATCGACATTTTTCTTTTTTACCTGTTTGACGGCAAATTGTTCGCTGAGTTCCTTTAGCACATCTTGCTTGATTTTGGCATCTTTCTTATTGAGACGAACCCAGAGACTGTTTTCACTCATTTTTGTTGGTGTTAGTTTACTCCACTGCAGGCGTTTTGTTTGGGCAGGTGGTTTAACTGTTTTTTTGAGTGTCATGCCATGTGGAAGTTGATTAATATCAGGACCCCTCATAAATGGCATGCATGGAGGAGGTGGGCCACCCATACCTGGAGGTGGTGGTGGTGGTGGACCACCCATGCCTGGTGGTGGTGGTGGTGGAGGGGGACCACCCATACCTGGGGGCGGAGGTGGTGGTGGTGGGCCACCACCCATGCCTGGTGGTGGAGGAGGGGGAGGAGGTCCTCCCATACCTGGTGGCGGTGGTGGTGGTGGTGGGCCACCCATACCTGGAAATGGAGGTGGCGGTGGTGGTCCACCTCCACCTGGTAGTGGTGGAGGCGGCGGAACTCCTCCAACCAATTGCTCGAGCCCTGGAACTGTAGGTAGTCCCCCTTTCTTGGCTGGGTCCCCACCGTGCTTCAGTGCCTCTTCTAAACGAGATTTTGCAAGTGACAATTCTGCTTCTAGCTTTTGATTTTTAGTAAGTGCTTCTTCTAATTGTATTTGGTATTCTGTTTCAACTTTTGCATTACTAGAGCGAGTTTCTTCTTTAAATTGATCGACGAGTTGATCTACTTTAATTTCAAATCTTTTTGTGGCACGAAAATCTGGATCACATCCATTTTTATGCAAGACAATTTGTGAAACACATTCTTCAATTAGCTTAAAATATGCAGGTCGAACATTTTCATCATCTCTAATAAACGCTAAATGCTGTAATATGGAAAGGAAGGGAGTTTCACAATTTGAGTCTTGAACTTGATGTCGGACAATTTCAAAACACCTACCTAAGTCCTCCATTTCATCTACGTGTGTAAAAAATCTATCTTGCCAGTCTTCAAAGTCTTCTGTCCGGCCTTTGTCAAAAATTTCTAGCTGTTTTTGTATGTCTGCATGCTCACTATTTTGCAAAACTTCCAATAAATCTTGAAGGCCTGTTCGCATGAATTCATTTCTTAAATGCAATCTGAAGTCTAGATTATCATCAGGAACAAAGTTGATTAGGGCATTGACAAGGCCAAGACAGCTGAGTCTTAATGGGTCATTACCCTGCATGCCTAAACCTACAATAATTGGTGTGAATCTATCCTGCTTCTTGTACTCCCCAACAATTGTGATGGCATCGAGAACTTCTCGATGACCATCAAGACCATCCTGGCGCCATAGAGGTACACAGAAACTCCCCATGAGTCTCAACACTTCCAACATGATTGCCGGCTTGGACGGATTAAGGCTATGCGCCAGGAGTGTGAATCCTTCATTTTGACGAAAAAATTCCTTAATGCCCGTGACGGTGTTGCAAATCACCTTGACGCACTTGATGGTTTCATACTGAACGCTGTCCCAGTGTTTGTTATTGTTTCCACTGAAACAGAAATTCAGAATATTAGGGATTAGGAATTACAAAATATATAAATTATAATGATGTACTAGGGGTGATCTAAAGCAGTATTTATTATAATTTACTGAACATGAAATCTATGGAAACAGGCAACCATCAGCATTAACCATATTTAAGAAAATAAAAACAAATATATATTTTACATAACTATGTAAGTATATTATTTAACTTATCACAGTATGTGTTACTGCAGAAGCACTTAAGCATTTAATCAATTCAATTAAATAAAATTTGAATATCCTTCTTAGTTATGGTATTAATGGAGGCCTCAGAAACCGACTGAGAACCCTGTGCACCCGAGGGAGTTTCAAATGTTGCGGGGTACCTAAAATATTTCAAAATGTTACGTGCACCATAGTTACACGTACAAGTAATAACAAAGGGAAACTAACCCCAGAGGGATGATTGGTCAAGTAGGGACAGGAGAGGAATAGTAAGCAGGAGGAAACATTTTGGTATGAGGGATAGAGGCAGGGCTTAACCTAGCTTGCATGATAATTGTATTTCAGGGGGTCAAATTTCTGAGGATGTTATGAGCAATAAAAGGGTTTTGGGGATAATTTGATCATGTCATCTATTATTCCTTCCCTTTCAAGGAAATGTCAATTAAGCTCTCCTAATCTCCATTCATGTGGGATAGATTATGTAGATTATGAGTTCGGTTTTGGTTGCCATTCTACAGAATGTACATAAATTCACTAGAACACATTCAGCGAAGGATGACAAAATTAATCCCACAAATTAGAAACCTTCCATATGAAGAGATTGAAAAAGCTTACTTATTCTGTAGAAAGGCAAAGAGTTATGAGTGACATGATTGAAGTGTACAATTGGATGACCGGGCATAACAAGGGAGATAAGAATTAAGTATTTAATATATATCAACATGTTCGAAAAATGTAAATAAATTGGATAAGTGTAGAGTTAGGAAAGACCTGGGGGTAAATAATGGTTTGGTAACAGGGTTGTGGATTTGTGGAACAAATTACCAGGTAATATAATAGATGTAGGATGCCTTGATTGTTTAATGTGTAGGTTAGACATACAGTATATAAGAATGAGTGTGGGTGGATATAAATAGGTGCTGAGACGTATCGGCCAAAATACTGTATAGGACCTCTGCAATTTCCGTGATTATTACATACTCATGTTCTTTAAGTTCTCTTTCTTGGGCTTGTTTTACATTTTTTGTAAATACAGATTGTTATATTTTAATAGATTATTTACCTCTCTCCTGATTTTAGTTTCATGTTGCTAGCTCTTTTTTTTAGCATCGTCCTATCTGAATTGATAACGTGTTTGCTCTACTTTTCTATGTCTTCAAGTTTGTTCTTGGCCTCCTGATATTGTCTGTTGAGCCACAGAGTTATGAATTCATTATTCTTGTTGGATTCCTTCCTGTAGGTAGGAACTTTTCCGTGGCCTATGCTAATGTGTAATTATTTGAGTGTAGTTACAGGATGTGAATTCTGCTCATAGTGTCCTGTCTTCCGCATTAATTGTCATATGATGCTGTAAAACTGCTTATGGTTTTAGCATCCATCACCTTCTCCCTTGTGTGAGTGTATACCTATGGAAGTGTCTATGAATGTAAAAACAGACTACATAAAATGCTGAATGATACATGAAAATAGCAGCTACACTCTTTTGCTTTGGTCATACTGTACTGATTAAAACTTAATTAACAAGCTTTCTCATAATTACAAATTGGCAAGCTCACTTAAATTGAAACGTTGACACTATGTACAAATTTAGGTTGTTTATCACATGCTAAATAGCATATTGAAAGATTTAAATCAATTCCAGTGACCATGACAAAGAGCAGCATAAATAAACGGCGTAATACTCACCCATCGCTCGAACTAGGTACAGTATAGCAGCCACCGGAGGTAAGAGAAAAAAAGTGATGTTAGAGTTCAGAAAGACCTTCAGGCAAAGGAGACATGCTAAGGGAGTAATAAATATTAGTAACACAAGTTGGATGCACCATACTATATAAATTAAGTGTTGTGAGAAATACATGGAACACCATAAAGCCTATTATTACTATTATTACTATTATTACTATTATTATTATTATTATTATTATTATTACTATTATTATTATTATTATTATTATTATTATTTTACAAGCAGGAGTACAACAAAAGCAAACCAGTATTAATGCATCAAACTCTATACTTTTAATGCTTCTTTGTAATCTAAACTACAACAGCACCAGAATGGTTCTACTTATCAATATTGCCTGAGGTCCCCCTCTCCCTCCCCCACCCCGAGTCGGACTCTGGTTTCGAGGCCTGACCACGGAGGATTGACTAGGTGCCAATTCTTAACTGTTCACCTTTGTTCAGGTGTAAAACGGTGGGTGGGTAATGTTCTAGGGAAATTAATAGGTAAGGATTACCCTGTGAGCTATGGAAAGGGAAAACTCTCAGTCTACTAATAGGATCCAGAAATAATTTTTTTTCCTATACCCACATGTGTATATACCAAAAAAAAGTCATTTACTGTAATCATGCGTGTCTGTAAAATTCCTATAGTGACTTTCTAGACAACAACCTAGCCTAGATTTACAGGTGTTAATACACGTACTCTGACATTCCTACAGTCTCACTACTGGTTTAGAAAACACTGCAAGTGTTGCCTGTTCTCTGGAACCCTATTGCTTGCTTAGTTAGTAGTAGCTTGACTCATGGTTCACAACCTGTTGATGATTCGGAGGGCCAATATCCACCTGGCTGCTGGTCTGATCAGCCAGGCTGTTCGACGCAACTGCTCGCAGCCTGACATATGAGTCGGCTTGATTAATCACCTTTCTTTGAAAGTGTTTGTCGAGTCATCTTTTTGAACACTACTAGAGATCGCCCAGATTTATGTGAAGGGGAAGAGTGTTGAAAAGTCTTGGGCCTTGATGTTGATCGAATTCCCTCTCTCAGCATGTTTATTGTAACTTTGCTTTTCAGTGGGCTATTTTGCCTGCCATGCCTTCTGATCTCATTGGTGTTATTACTGTGTGCAGATTTGGGACCAGTTCTTCTAATAGTTTTCAAGTGCAAACTATTATGTATCTCTCCTGCCTGCGCTCTAGAGAATACGGACTTAAATTTTTTAGGGGGTCACAACAATTTATATGTTTTATCGAGTGGATTCTAGCAGTTAAAAGACCTTTGCATGTTCTTCAGGTCAGCAATTTCTCCAGCTTTGAATAAAGCTGTTATTGTGCAACAATATTCCACTCCAGAGAGCACTGGAGTGCTCTCAAAGGTGTGCTTGGAGTGGTCCACAGGCCTACATATCCATCACAGCCTGGTTGGTCCGGCACTTCTTGAAGAACAACAACTAGTTTTCTCTTGTGGGTGTCCACGTTCGTTCCAGCAATATTTCTTATACTCACTGGGAGTGTGTTGAACAACCGTTCAACACACCTACAGGCAACAGCCTGTAGGACCTAGCTCTCACAAGTCAAGCCTGGCCCTGAGGAGTAGAAGAACTCCCAGAACCCCATCAAGAAGGTAACACACAAGCGGGTAACACTATTGAAATGAAAAGCAATGTAAGAGATTTAGGAGTAATCATGCTGGAAAACCCTTACTTTTAAAGAACACAACAAAGTTGCTGTGACAACTTCAAGAAAAATGACAGGTTGGATAGCAAGAATCTTTGAAACGAGATGCTGTGGACCTCTGATGTTTATACAGTGTTCTCTGATTGTGCCTATTGCACCCCCCTGCTCTTCACTGGTTCTATTCTGCATTTTTTCCCATATCGTTCACTTCAGTATGTTGTTAATTTACTGTGTAGATTTGGTACCTGCCCCTCCAGTATCTTCCACGTGTATATTATTTGATATCTCTCTCGTCTTCTTTCTAGTGAGTACATTTGGAGAGCTTTGAGACAATCCCAATAAATTAGGTGCTTTATTGCGTCTATGTATGCCGTACATGTTCTCTGTATTCCCTCTATTTCAGCAATCTCTTCCGTTCTGAAGGGGCAAGGGAGTATCAAGCAGTACTCAAGACGGAACAGCACAAGTGATTTGAGTAGTACAACCATTGTGATGAGATCCCTGGATTTGAAGGTTCTCGTAATCCATCCTATTATTTTTCTGGCTGATGCAATATTTGCTTGGTTATGCTCCTTAAATGTTAGGTCATCAGACATCATTATTCCCAGATCTTTTACATGCTGCTTTCCTACTATGGGCACATTTGATTGTGTTTTGTACCCTGTATTTTGTTAAGATCCTCATTTTTACTCTACTTGAGTACCTGGAATTTATCACAGTTAAACATCATGTTATTTTCTGCTGCCCAGTCAAAAACTTTATTAATATCTGTTTGTAGTTTTTCAATGTCTTCAGCAGAGGTAACTTTCATGCTGATTTTTTTTTTTTTTTTGTCATCTGTTAATTAAGGATGACAAGAAGCTGAGACTTCTATTTTTGTCTATATCTGATATGAGAATAAGGAAAAGCAGTGGAGCAAGGACTGTACCCTGAGGTACAGAGCTTTTAACTGTGCTTGGACTCAATTTTATTTGGTTGACTGTTACTCTTTGTTTTTTTTGTTCTACAGAACATTTAATATCCAGCATCCTACTTTACCTCCCTGCAAACACACAACGCAACTGTCCCTATTTTCCGCTTGATACAACTTGTAATAAAGTTGTTACATCATATTATAATGTTTTTATGATGTATTAGAATGTTGTTTCAACTTGTTAGGTGTTGTTAAAACTTGTTTGAATGTTGGAGTAATGTCATAGTTTTGTTTGATCCCAATGACTTCATTTTGTGTGCTATAACAAGTGTGGTAAATGCCATGCTTCACCATAAATATTGATCTTATAAAAATACTGGTCACATCAACTAGTCATAGATGAATGACAATATTATAAATTATAATTAGCAACTATTTTCTTAAATAATATGTTATTAGCCAACACAGAAAAGCAATGTTTATAGAAATTAGACCTAAGATGGGAAATTAGTGCAAATGAAAATGTTACTAGGGTAACTGATTGCTGTAAAGCATGTTGGGTGAATGTGATGACCAAACCACACAAACCAGAAGATGTCGAAATGATGACTTTTCGGTCTGTCCTGGGCCACTATCAAGTCACACACGACTTGATGATGGTCCAGGACGGGCCGAAACATCATTGTTTCTCCATCTTCTGTGTGGTTTGGTCATCACATCTTCAGCCACGTTATTGTGACTCATCGCCTGCATTTGGGTGGGTGTGGTCAGAGTGACAAGTCAGCTCTTGTGGAAGGGACATGTTATTCTCTCTCATTGTTGGATTAAAAGTTTACACTTGGAGATGACATATGTCATGACACCTTTACTCTTGGATTAATAGTTTACACTTGGGGATGGCATATGTCATGACACCTCCACCGTTGGATTAATAGTTTACATTTGGGGATGGCACATGTCATAATGATTTCACCATTGGATTAATAGTTTACACCTGGGGATGGTACATGTCATGACACCTGATGCTTTTATAAACACTGTTTTATGTTAAGGGCAGAAATAATCAAATTGAGGCATGAGGTAAGTTGTCAGCAGGAGTGTGAAGAGCCAGTGAAAGATGCACAGGTGTCTGTGCAGAAGGACTACCACAAGGTGAAGCAGAAGGGAACCAAGTTGCATAACTAGCAGGTGATTTGTAATTAATTAAGGAGTGAAACACTCAGCAAGAGATGATAAGATAATAACCATGAGCAAGACTGTGACGGTGATCTCAAACTCCTCAGTTTTAATGCGAGTGTATAGAGAGAAATATAAGAATGAAGGTATGGCTACAAAAGGATTCAACAAAGATGAGAAAATTTGGCCACTGGGTATTCCCAGGTTATCTTGAGGTTATCTTGAGATGATTTCGGGGCTTAACGTCCCCGTGGCCCGGTTCTCGCCCAGGCCTACATTTTGTTACACATACTCCAGGAAGCAGCCCGTAACAGCTGTCTAACTCCCAGGTACCTATTTACTGCTAGGTGAACAGGAGGCATCAGGGTGAAAAAACTCTGCTCATTTGTTTCCACCTTCACCGGGGATCAAACCCGGAACCTAAGGACTACGAATCCCGAGCACTGTCCACTCTGCCGTCAGGTTAGACACAAAGATCGTTTTGTTCTAAAGATGGGAGAAATAGGATGAATTCATGTCTTCTTAGGGCTAGAGTTGGAGATATTCAACAAATTGGAAACACTTATAGCTTGATATTAAGTAACCTAAACCATTTTTGTATATATATAATGAAGCCTCAAAAGCTTTTTTTTTAACAATTCAAAGCGTTATTTTTGTAGCGTTTCTACTGGTATAGATGGAAAACGCACGTCTCATTCTGAATGACACCCACCAGAAGACGAAACACATTTCTATATACCAGTAAGGGAAATCTGATTGTTGCGAATGGTGTGTGTGGTGACTGCATGAGGCTGTGTTGCAGACATTCATCCTCTGCACTGTACTGCCAGTTGCAGTATATTTAGTTAATCGGGTTCTCGTGAAATGTGTCATTGTGATCTTGTTGGCGGTAATTCCTAGGCCAACTTGAATACATAGTACATGCACTATAGGTCTAGGAAAGGATAGGTTTGGTTGTCATCATTTTTTCTCAGGCCCTCAAGAAAATAGTACAAAACATGGATTTTGGGGAGAGGGTGAAATAGCCCATATTTTGCATATTTCACCCACAATCGCTATAGGCACAATACTTTTTGGAGGATACAGAGGTTGTTTGAATAGACTTGTTCCCTTAAAATAAGTTTATTCAATTTTTTTTGTAACCACACTCCAAAATGACAGTTCATGTATAACAACTATTAAACATAGACAATAGTGTACATTTTGTACTACTGGAAAATTAAAATCATAAACAAGCAGAAGAAAAAATAATAAAGAACGATAACCTTACCAGTCCAAGGCCTAATTTAATATATTTCTGGCCAATTGTGCTCAAATGGACTATATTTAGCCCAAGATGCATTAGGATAGGCCTAGGATATTTTAAATTAGCCCTAAGACAGGTTAAGTTGTTGTTTTCTTAATTTTTCTACTTTATTATTTACCAACAGTTTCCACTTATCACAGTACAAAATATCTATGTTAACAGTCCTAATTTTGTCCATCTGCTTCACAGCCTTTGTATGTATTATCAATTTGAAGGTTGGTTGCTTTCAAGTGAATTCAAAATCATCCATATAAACCTGGGGCCAGATTCACAAAGCGGTCACGAAAGCACTTACGAACCTGTAATTCTTTTCTCAATCTATTGTGGCTTTGTTTACAATTATTAAACAGTTAATGAGCTCCGAAGCACCAGGAGGCTGTTTATAACAATAACAACAGTTGATTGGCAAGTTTTCATGCTTGTAAACTGTTTAATAAATGTAACCAAAGCCGTCAGAGATTGCGGAACGACGTACACGTTCCTAAGTACCTGCGTTACTGCTTCATGAATCTGGTTCCTGGCGTATTTGAACCCTTAAGCACCTCAGCACATTGCAATTTGAGCACAGGAGGTAATTGCTGATGGTGGTGGTGGTAATAATAATAATAATAATAATAATAATAATAATAATAATAATAATAATAATAATAATAATAATAATAATAATTATTCAGTGTGTCGGGGGACAGAAAGCCAGAGTGTATTCATACACATAAGGCTTGTATCGAGGCCCCCCCTTCCCCAGGTCGAATTACTGACCCTGCCCAAGATACAATTCCACAACAAGCTGACTAACTCCTAAGTACCTACTTACTGCTGGGTGAACAGAGGCATTAGGTGAAAGGAAATGTGTCCAACCATTTATGTCCCACCCATGATTCGAACCCAGAATTCTCGATTGTGCGAGGATAATGAACCTGACTCTACTAACGGGACCGTACTACTGATTGGAGCCATTTAAAGGCCAAGCAAGTTAATTCAAGATGAAACTTCTACATCAATGTTCATTTTGACTGCCAAGGTGAAGTAAATTATTAAGACTTTAGATCTGCCACTTGCTTCCATTTGTGTTATTTTAAAAAAAGAGAGTAAGCTACTAAGAAAAAAGTCATAAAGTGAAAAAATAATTACAGCACTTATCAACCCTAAAACAATTCATGCAATTTAAGTTGTAAAGATTGAATTACAAAAATTTCTTAATGCCCACCTTCTGTAGCATTCATTAAGGGTGCTTAATAAGGTTTTAAGGCCTTTCTGACTAAATTCTTGCACCCACTGTATCCGGTTACTGCGAAGAGCTACTTGCAAGCTCTCCAGAACTTTGAAAATGGCTTTTACACTGAGGTCATCACGCTTTAGGTACTCTATGTATTCCATTGGTGTCTCAAATTTGTGTTGCGTCTGTGCCATCATCTGTTAATAAAAATAAAAAGACTGCATTACAGTTGTGACTTTCTGTAACACATTAATAAGAAACAACAAATCAGTCTGGACTGTAAACAAATTATGTAATAATGAAATGCATGATAATTAACAAATCTGTCCACTGGCAAAAAAAAAATAGCGTTGAGTATAATGAAGTGCACCCCCTCTCAGACCCAGCTAAAAAGCAAGCAAGAGAAGTTCTACCAAGGCCAAACAATACGAGGTGGCAGTACAGTAGCAGACATTAAGCAGTGATCCAGACAGATCACACAAGGAAGGCTAAAACAAGAGAAAAGGATATGAACGTAACCTGATAAAGGGATAGAAAGTGTCAGAAGACTTGCCAATACTGCCTGGAGATACCTGGAGAGGGTTTTGGGAGTTCTTCTATTCCCTGAGCCTGGCCTGGGGCCAGGCTCAAAGCTGCCTCTAAGTACTAAGAGTCCTTAAGAGTACTTAGAACCAGGCTCGACCCGTGCCTCCATAATTCACACAAATGTGAAACCAGAACATCTGCTACCTGTCAAACAATGCAAGTGACAGTACAACAGATTCAAAAACTTCACATGCAGCATCAGCAGTCTGGACCCATCCAGATAAGGGAGAGACCATCAGTGTGGAGGAGGAAGCAGGATTGAACTGACTACATGGAGACAGAAAAATAAAGTGGCCAGTAAAGGTTTCCAACCTGGATGACATGAGTAGGAGAAGACCCTCTGGTTCCAATCCACAAAAACTAAGTCCATCTTGAGGGCCTCGGGAATGTTCAGGAAATGGAGCCACATACAGCCAACTAATGATTTCATGCCAATACAAACAAGTTCACCTATGGATGGCAAAACATATCACATCTCAATTATGCAAAACGAGGCACCGTACACCTCTCACTGGAGTCAAAATAGAACTAACTAGGGAGAGAGCATCTGCGAGCACATCAATATTCCTTAATTATGGATTGCACTGTGAATTAAACCCTGAGAAGCCAAAAGTGAGGCTATCTAGAGATTCCACCCAACAGGAAATGGACCAGTTGAACCTGCCAATGTTCTTGCAATGAACCACCAGAGAGTAATCAAAAGAGAATTGGAGAGCCACTGGAAAGGATTGTATCAAAATACCATCTAGATCACCACAAACCTCAACACTGTGATGAAGAGGAGAGTACCACAAACTTTGTTTGGCATGATGAGTTCTGGAGACTAAGAACCCTGCTGACATCAAATGCATTCATGTACAGTTGGAGCTGACATCACGGAAACAAACTGTGAAAGTTTAAAAAACCAGCATTGAATGTAATGAAACGCCATTTTCTGGGTGAGCCCCGGAGGCTCCCTGGAGCTTATCGGGCTAATGTATGTTATATTAGACCGGGACATTAGCTAAGGAGTTCAGACCTACCATGGACCAGCGCCAGAACCTGGCCCCTTCAGAGAGGTTTCAGGGAGCAATGGCTCTGGAAAACCCCCTTGTGGTTGGGGTTTTCCTTATCTGCCATCGACCGGGGTTAGGCACCCAGAAAGGTAGGCATAACAAAACAAACCCCACCAGGCAAATGAAAATAAAAACAAAAGAAAACCCCCGCAAAAGTACACCGTCTCCAGAGGCAACAGGAACCGGTCGCTGCTTAGGTTGCAGGTCGCGCAACACCTTGACACCCTAACCAGGACAATACCAGTCCCTACCCAAGGCCAAACAAGGGCCCCCAAGCCCCAGCTGGCCCCAAGGGCGAGGCAAAAGCCGAGCAGCAAGAACCTCTACGGGAATTGTTCCTGAACGCCCCAGGGAAGATAACCCTGTCACGCAGGGGCAGTACTCACAGGGCGCTTAGGGAAGGAAGCCCCTAAGCGCATGCAGCCCCGGCACTGATGAGGTACTCCTGGCCACCGCACAACACAACACACAGCAGAGAACGCCACACAAGGCAAACACCGCCTAGGAAACTGAGGCCAGAGAAGCGTCTATCCTGGTTGACATTTGCTTACGAACTGATGCTAGGCAGCCGGCACGGTAGGTCCGGGGCTCCCCCACTCTCCCTCTCGGTGGAGGGAGGGCTGCGCGGACGATCGGCGCGGCAGTAAAGTGTGATGTTTGCTCGTTTCCTTGGGATTGTAGAGAGTTTCAACCTCTCTGTTCATTTTTTTGTTTTAGTTTTTTACCATGTGGGGTTTGTTTTGTTATGCCTACCTTTCTGGGTGCCTAACCCCAGTCGATGGCAGATAAGGAAAACCCCAACCACAAGGGGGTTTTCCAGGGCCATTGCTCCCTGAAACCTCTCTGAAGGGGCCAGGTTCTGGCGCTGGTCCCTGGTAGGTCTGAACTCCTTAGCTAATGTCCCGGTCTAATATAACATACATTAGCCCGATAACCTCCAGGGAGCCGCAGGGGCTCCCCACAGAAAAGGAAAGTGATGATGCAAAATCCACCTCAGATATGATAGGGGCCACTTGGCGCAGGCCCTCCCAGGTCGACAAAGCTCTAACCAGTGCAAAAGGTTGCACTCGTTACACAACACCTTCAACTGCACATGGCCCAGAGTGTAAATCACACAAGTGAAATTGGGGCAGCCACTACAGGTATAAGCAGAAATGTCATTACCGGCCGAACACAAGGTGCCAATGGGCACAAGACAGCAAAGTCGAGGGAGGAAGATTATCTTCGTCCAGCTGAAACTTCCTCCTGTTGACCAGGAAGCTATAGTGGTAGAACCAGTGAAGGACAAGACCACACAAGATTAACAATTGGGAGCCTCGATGACAAAATGGATTTGCCATCAAGGCAGGCAGAGAATGGGTCCCACAAAGCCATACATCCTTGAGAATCACCCGATTTAAGCCTGGAAAAGGTTCTGGCAAGCAGGTTCAGCCAAAAATAGAAAACTGAAGCATCTCACTTGAAACCCCAGCCAATCCCAGAACCACAGATGGATGTGCACATGCCAACAAGCATTCCACAGATTCAGAAAAATAGGGTAGGACTGATGACCAAACCACACATCAGAAGATGAAGAAACATTGATGTTTCAATCTGTCCTGGACCATAATCAAGTCATGTGAAAGACTGATAACGGTCCAGGACAGACCAAAACGTTGTCATTTCTTCATCTTCTGGTGTGTGGTTTGGTCATCATGTCCTCAGCCACGTTATTGTGACATCATCTGCATAGGATAGGACTGGCTCGTTATCACTGGTTTCACCTAGGACATTGTGGATACCCAGAATGATGGCAAGAAACATGAGTGTTGAGCTTGGAGAGATCTAAACTGAACTGGGGCTAGGCGAAGCCCTTTTTTTTAGAAGCAGAAAAGAGGTGGTACACCATATGTTAGGAGAACATCACCATAATAAAAATATCTGATCCAATAAGTTGTATATGACAGTACAGAAATTGAAGTTGACCTAAGAAATAACCAGAAATGCCTGAGGAGGAGAGCACGAAATCCAGTGAAGACTTTTGTTAACTAAGCAGAAAGCCCAGGCAACTATAGTCCAAGCCTACCAGACGGTCCTCAGACATCTCGCCATCACACTATCACTGAGGCAAACCACAAAAGGGCAAAATAATCATGACTCAAATGGTTGGCACCACTACCTCATTCAGGAACCCAAGAAGATTGAGATCAGGCCCATGAAAAATGAGGTGGCAACACCGGGTAAAGCAGTCGGAAGGAGTCATCAGCTGCTGCTAACACCTGAACTACCTCCTCCTCTGGAATGAGGAGTGTGTAGAACATGGAGGCAAACTACTTGGTTCAAGTTATCAAAGCTATCATTGCAGACAAGTGGGCCGGATTCAGCAGTGACCCATGTACTGACGAGCCTGTACAACTTTACTCCGTCCATGGAGGCTTTATTTACATATCATAAACAGTTAATGAGCTCCGAAGCACCAGGAGGCTGTTAATAACAATTACAACATTTGATTAGGAAGTTTCGATGCTCGTAAACTGTTTAATAAATATATAAAAAGCCGTCAAATATTGAGAAAAGATGCACAGGTGAATAAGTAGATGTAATTACCTAAGTGTAGTTACAGGATGAGAGCTACGCTCATGGTGTCCCGTCTTCCCAGCACTATTTGTCATATAACGCTTTGAAACTACTGACGGTCTTGGCCTCCACCACCTTCTCCCCTAACTTGTTCCAACCGTCTACCACTCTGTTTGCGAAAGTGAATTTTCTTATATTTCTTCGGCATCTGTGTTTAGCTAGTTTATATCTATGACCTCTTGTTCTTAAAGTTCCAGGTCTCAGGAAATCTTCCCTATCGATTTTATCAATTCCTGTTACTATTTTGTATGTAGTGAACATATTACCTCTTTTTCTTCTGTCTTCTAGTTTTGGCATATTTAATGCCTCTAACCTCTCCTCGTAGCTCTTGCCCTTCAGTTCTGGGAGCCACTTAGTAGCATGTCTTTGCACCTTTTCCAGTTTGTTGATGTGCTTCTTAAGATATGGGCACCACACAACTGCTGCATATTCTAGCTTTGGCCTAACAAAAGTCGTGAACAATTTCTTTAGTATATCGCCATCCAAGTATTTGAAAGCAATTCTGAAGTTAGAAAGTGTAGCATAGGCTCCTCGCACAATATTCTTTATGTGGTCCTCAGGTGATAGTTTTTTATCTAGAACCACCCCTAGATCTCTTTCTTTATCAGAATTCTTTAAAGATTTCTCACATAATATATAGGTTGTGTGGGGTCTATGTTCTCCTATTCCACATTCCATAACATGGCATTTATTAACATTAAATTCCATTTGCCAAGTGGCGCTCCATGTACTTATTTTGTCCAGGTCTTCTTGAAGGGCATGACAATCATCTAAGTTTCTTATCCTTCCTATTATCTTAGCATCATCAGCAAACATGTTCATATAATTCTGTATACCAACTGATAGATCATTTATGTAGACAATAAACATCACTGGTGCAAGAACTGAACCCTGTGGTACTCCACTTGTGACATTTCTCCAGTCCGATACATTGCCTCTGATCACAGCCCTCATTTTTCTATCAGTGGGAATGCTTGTTGAATCTTGGCCAAGGCCGACAAGGAATCCACTGAGAGTGCAGTTAACTATGTCTGCAATTGTGAGAAAAAAGGCTCAAGTTAACAAATAACTAAGAACTTCTGCCAAGCGGAGCTCACACTTAGTGATCCGAGACATTTGCCTGGTGAATCAATACAATTATCCTGACAAGCTGAGGCACTCATCTGAAGAGCTTGTACAATCACAATCACCCAGAGAGCTGTGGCACCACTTGAGGATTCAAGGCCTTCATCCAAAGACCCAAAGAACTCATCTATGGAGCTGGGACATCCTATCAGACATATCTACAGCATTCCTTGGTGATGCGATAACCAAACCACACACCCCAGAAAAACAAACGATGACGTTTTGGTCCATCCAAGACCATTATCGAGCCTTCACATGACTTGATAATGGTTCAGGAAGGACCAAAACGTCATAGTTTCTTTCTTTTCTGACGTGTGGTTTGGTCACCATATCTTCAGCCACGTGACTCATTCCTCTGCATTCCTTGGTGACCTGAGACACTCGCCTGTATACCCGTTGCAACCCTCCAGTGGAGCATCCAGTAGATCTGGGGCACGTACTCGTGACCCAGAGCATGCACTCTGAAATCTGCATGACCAGGCATATGGGTGGGAAGAATGAGAACGACCAGGCATATGGGTGGGAAGAATGAGAACGACCAGGCATATGGGTGGGGAGAATGAGAACGATCAGGCATATGGGTGGGGAGAATGAGAACGACCAGGCATATGGGTGGGAGAATAAGAACGATCAGGCATATGGGTGGGGAGAATGAGAACGATCAGGCATATGGATGGGGAGAATGAGAACGATCAGGCATATGGGGTAGTGAGAATGAGAACAACCAGGCATATGGGTGGGGGAGAATGAGAACGATCAGGCATATGGGTAGTGAGAATGAGAATAACCAGGCATGTGGGTGGGGAGAATGAGAACGACCAGGCATATGGGCGCTGAGAAACAGTCTTACCTTATGATTACTCGCCAGCATAAGCCTCATTTTGTCCACTGGTGTTTTCATCAACGCACTCTCATCAGCTATGTTCATATCTGTTATCATCTGCTGAAAATGGTCTTTTACCTGAAAATAATGAAGATATGATTACATGAAAAGTCTTTCTGAGCAAAGAATGTGATTGTTTGATGAAGCAAATTCCTGCTTGTCCCTATAAACAAGATTATCAACAGTCAAGGCAGGTCAACATTCAATGTCAAGAGTAACAGGGATCCTATCACACAGGCATGTTGGGTCACACTGGTATTCACCTAGTTGTGCTTGCAGGGGGTTGAGCTCTGGCTCTTTGGTCCCGCTTCTCAATTGTCAATCAACTGGTGTACAGATTCCTGAGCCTACTGGGCTCTATCATATCTACATTTGAAGCTGTGCATGGAGTCTGCCTCCACCACATCACTGCCTAATGCATTCCATCAGTTAACTACTCTGACACTGAAAAAGTTCTTTCTAATGTCTAGTGTGCTTACCTATCAAGTGTCTACAGGTAAGGAAGACACTGGAAAATACTAAATCTAGTTTAGAACTATCTTGCAGACGAGGAGTCATAATAATGTGGCTGAAATATGTTGACCAAACCACACACTAGAAAGTGAAGGAACGACGATGTTTCGGTCCGTCCTGGACCATTCTCAAGTTGATTGTGAGAATGGTCACAATCTCACAATCACCTTGAGAATGGTCCAGGACGGACCAAAACGTCGTCCTTCCTTCACTTTCCAGTGTGTGGTTTGGTCAACATAGAACTATCTTCAAAAGGCTCATTCAAATAAACCTAAATCTGTATCAAGGACTATTTAATATCACAGGGACACGACGTGATAGTGGTCCCGGACGGATTGAGATGTCGTCGTTTCTTCATCTTCTGATGTGTGGTTTGGTCATCATCACAGGAACAGTCTAGAAGCAGCAGCTAGTAGGCCCACCCAGCTGTTATCCCCAACTGCCACTAGGTGGCATCAACTACATGTAAACTGGGTTCACTGACTGCCCACCTAACATTTTACCCGTCATAACCACCCATAAAGCATAGGGAGGGGGGGTAGCTGGGAAAGAATAGAGGGAACAGGAGTACTGTAACGGTTTTGCCGAGATATTTAGTTACCCCTGATGCACACCATAGGCATTCAAAGGCAAATTTCTCAGCTACACCACTCAGTTGCTCCCTTAGGCAAGAGTTGAACTGAAAGGGCTAAGGCAACAAAAACACAACAAGAGGGTTGGCCCATCTACACAACAGAGTAGTGCCAGCATAAATACCTACGTCCCAGACAGAGACTCAAGAAGCTGTGTAATGGCCAGCTCATCAGCCACCTTGTTGAGCACTATCCCAATATGACATGAAGTGCCAAAGCTGCGAACATAAGCAGCTGGTAACACAATTGGGCTTCTTATAGCCAAGTTGGGCTACAAATAGCCAAAAGTACCAAACATAAACAGTTGGAATGCAATTGGGCTCCATAAAATCCAACTGGGCAACAGAGCCCAACATGGCAACCCAGCCCAAAGACAAAACACCACTTAACTGATAAAAAGAGACAAGCCAGAGTGACTAGGACTACACCCGAGCACCAAGAGAATAGAACTGAATGTGGGGCGGGGCCGGCTAACCCTATATGCCCCCCTCCTTCCCTCAAACGAGAGGGAAGGTGGGGCTAACTAGAGGGCACTAGTTTTATGAATCTTGATGGGGTTTCATTATTGGGGGGAGTTCTTTTGGCAGTTTTAGTGCTGTGGACTTGTTTTTAACCATGCAATAGTCTGATTTCATTCGCCTAACTTTCTGGGCGCTTCCCTGGTGGTGGGAATTATTATTAACTTTAAGTGTAGAGTGTTCATAGGCCATCGCTCCCTGTGCTTCTCTGAGGGAGCAAAGTTCTGGCTTTTAGTCCCCAGTAGGCCAATAGAACTCGGTGACTGATGGCACTAACCAGTGAATAATAGCTTCAGAGAGTGAATGGAGATTCCCTCGGAAAAAACCAGCGTTGAATGTAATGAAACGCCATTTTCTGGGTGAGTCCCGGAGGCTCCCCGGAGCTATCCCAGGCTGATATGCTAATGTCAGACTTTGGCATCAGTCATGTGTATGGAGTTCTTAGGCCTACCGGGGACCACGGCCAGAACCGGGCCCCCTCAGAGAGGCAAGGGGAGCAATGGCCTATAGAAGCCCCCGTGTAGTTGGAAGCATTCTATGTCTGCCATCGACCGGAACAGGCACCCAGAAAGGTAAGCGCCCCAAAACAAACCCCTATTCTGGTTAAAATTGCTACCTAATACCGAACTAGTGGATAGAACTCCCCAACCGAAAACAAGCAAATTAGTGTGACGTCACACACTGCCGCGCCGCTGTCTGCGCAGCTCCCCCCTCCCCGGGAGGGGGAAGGGGGAGCCCCAGACCCCCCGCGCCGGCTACCCACACCTCAGTTCTTGAGGCTGGATGTCAAAAACGCGAAAAACCGCCGACCGGAGGGAGGGAGGGATGCCGGGGAGCCTCCGGGACTCACCCAGAAAATGGCGTTTCATTACATTCAACGCTGGTTTTCTGGGGGGAGCCCCGTCGGCTCCCCGGAGCTAACTACCCACAGACAGAAAAAGAGGGACTTACCCGGGAGGCGGTCGTCGCTCACCCCTCAACACGAAGCCGAGACAACTGGCTGCAACCGCCGACCCAAAGCAACACAGGCCCGACGAGGGCCAGGGACATTCACAAGGTAACGAGCAGCCAGGACCCTGTTCGACCGCCAAAATCCCCGCGCCCGAATATCAGACCAAGACATATTCCCAAAGACGGCAGCAAGAGCCGCGAACTTACGAACGTCATGGGCACGGGGATAGACCGCAGGCTGGCTAGACCTAATAACCCTGCGGACGACCTGAGAGACCCGAACCCGCGAACAGGGAAGAAGGGAAACCGGATCAACCCACAGCGCGTCCCCAGACACAGAAGCTGTGGCGCGCAAATAACGGCGAAGCGCCGCAACCGGACACAAAACATGATGCACCCCCGGCCTGACCAACCAAGCATCAACCACCCATGGACCCCTCCGGAACGCAGCAGTCTCATTCTTCGCCAGAAAAGAAGGAGACGGCTGCAAACGAACAAAACTATCACCACGACCAAAAGAGCAGAAACCCCTGCGCCGGAGGAGAGCATGAAGCTCCCCTACCCGACCCCCAGAGGCCAAAGCCAACAAGAAAAGTGCCTTGGAAAAACAATCCTGGACCGAAGGGGCCACAACGAAACGAGGAGATGAAAGGAAAGAGCACTCTGTCCAAAGACCAGGACGGCTCAGGCGACGCATGAGCAGGCCGGAGGTGAAACAATGCACGAGACAGCTTGCGAAACGGCGCAGACGTAACATCGATACCGAAAGCAAGCTGAAGCGGCTCCGCCAGCGCCGCACGATACGAAGCGACAGTGTTAGGCATAAGATGACGGTCCTGAAACAACCACGAGAGGAAGGACAAGACCACCCGAACAGACAAGGAGCTAACACGACGAAGACGCAAAAAGAAACGGAAGGACCGCCAGGAAACTTCATACTGCCGCCGAGAAGAAGCCCTCAGATGGGACACCAACAAGGAGGCCACCTGATCACCATAGAGATGATGATAGACTCGAGTCAAAAAAACCATACGCGAAGACTCAAGGAGAAGATCGAACCAGCTACGTGACGTACCGGCCCGATCCGCTGAAAGAGGCGGAGCCGCGGGAAAACCCTCGGGTTCGGACACCGAGCAACCAGCGCCTGAAACCAAGGCTGGGCCGGCCACCAAGGGGCCAGAAGGACAACTCTCCCCCGGTAAGTCTCTAAGCGAGTCAGGACCTGGAGCAACAGCCGAACTGGGGGAAAGAGGTACAGGAACCCCCACCTCGACCAGTCGAGCCGAAAGGCATCGACCCCGACGGCCTCGCAATCGGGGAAGGGCGCCGCATAAACGGGAAGACGCCGCGACCACGCCGACGCGAAGAGGTCCACCTCGGGGCGCCCGAACGTCTGGCAAAGCCAACGGAAGGACTCGTCGTCGACCGTCCACTCCGTGGAGAGGGGAACGAAGCGAGACAGGGCGTCGGCCAAGACGTTGGACACGCCCCGTACGTGAACCGCCAGGAGAGCCAAACCCCGAGAACTCAGCAGACGAGTCACCCGAAGCGACCAACCCCAAAGAGACAAGGACCGCATCGAACCCCCGCGGTTCAGGCAATGAACCACCGGAGAGCAGTCCGAATGGAGCCGAATCGTCGATCCGCGGGCCACCCGAATCCTCCCCAGAGCAAACCACACTGCCGCGAACTCCCGCACCGTACTGTGAGCTCGACGGAAGGACGGATCCCAACGCCCCTGGCCGGCCTGGTGAGCACTGGTCACAAAACCCCAGCCGAGAGACGACGCATCCGTGTACACATCGAGCGAGGGCTCGGGTAGGCGCCAAGGCACTGAACCCCGAAAAACCCGAAGAGGAAGCCGGTGACGCAGCAACCGACGCAAGTCCCCCGGGGGTCGAACTCTGCGATCGCGAGAGAGGCGGAAGGGGGAACCCCGAAGGAACCAGAACAGCCGTCGAAGCCAAACCCGACCCGGCGGGTAGACCACCATCGCGAAGTTCAGGCTCCCGCACAGCCCCTCGAGCAACCGCCGGGTGACCCGAGGGCCCTCCAGAAACAGACGAAGGCGGGACCGCAGCCGCAGGAGAGACTCCGGAGGGAGAGACAAGGAGGCGGTCCGAGAGTCCCACACGAGACCCAGCCAAGTCCGAACCTGAGAAGGAACCAGATGGGACTTCCTCCAGTTCACCAAGAACCCGAACCCGGCGAGCTGGGAAAGAACCAAATCCCTGGCTAGCAAGCAAGCTGACTGGCTGGGAGCCCAAACCAGCCAGTCGTCGAGGTAGGCCAACACCCGAACACCTAGGAGACGCAAACGAGCCACCACAACCCGTGTAAGGCGTGTGAACACGCGAGGTGCCAGGTTCAACCCGAACGGGAGACAACGAAAGCGGTAACTCAGACGCCCCACTACAAAACCGAGCCAGTCCCTGAACCGCGGATGAATCGGGACATGCCAATAAGCGTCCCGGAGGTCCAGGGACACCATCCAAGCACCCGGCTCCAAGAGGAGCCGAACCTGAGACAGCGTAGTCATCCGAAAGGAGGGGCAATGAACCCAGGGGTTCAGACGGGACAAGTCCAGAATGAACCGCAGGTCCGCGCAGTCCCGTTTCGGAACCGGAAACAGACGGGAAACCCATCTGAGGGACGACGTCGTTTTGACGACGCCCAAGCGTACCCACTCCAAGACGACTCGACAGAGCGCAGGGGAAGAAGCCTGCCCCGCCAGCCCCGACCCCCCAAAGGGGGGAGGGGCCACCCAACGCCACCGCAGGCCGCGAGACACGACCCGAAAGGCCCACGAATCGTGGGACCAGGCGCGGGCGAACAGCGCAAGCCGCCCCCCCATCGCCCCGTCAAAGGGGCAAACCGCGAAAGGGCCGGCGACCCTTACGAGACGCAGAACCCCGCACAGCGCGAACACCGCGCCGACCAGACGAGGGAGGGTCCGCAGGAGGAGCCAACCCCAAACCTGACACCAGAGGCCTACCACGACGAGAGGAACCCCGAGCCCTGGCACGACCTTTCCGGGAAGACCCACCCCGGGACCCCCGGAAAACCAACAAGTCCGACATCGGACGACAAGCCGCCGACGCAGCCTGAATAAACTGCGCCACGGCCGACTCCCCAAACAGGAGAGGACAAAAAGGTGAAGAACGCCTAAGAGCCAGAGCCCAAGCAGATTCCACGGAGGAACCCAGCACCGCCTGCCGACACGCGAGACGGGAAGCATAGAACAGGGAAACCGCATCCCGCAAAATCGGCGTGAACAGCTTCAACAAGGCAGCCGACGAACGCGCAGCCGAGGACAAGGTGCCGGACCCCGGGACGGACCCAAGCGTCCCCACATCCTCCACGAGCCAATCCGAAGACAGCTCCAGGAGGGAAAAGAACCGCAAGGCCGAACACAAAAGGCCCCGAGCGCGCAAGTCCTCCGCCACGAGCGCCGCCGAAAGGGAGGGAACCTGCACATGGAGCTGAATGACGCCCACATCGCGGGGAAGGGCAGGGGCAAACAAGCACTCATTCAGGTACTCAAGTTCACCCCCCAGGAAAACCTGAAGCACCGTGGAAGCTTCCCGCCACTCCAGCGTGCGGGAACGACAGAAGGAATGCCAGGAATCCAGACCAAACAAGGGGCAGTCTGCTAGCCAGGATGACTCCGGAACCTCGTAACGGAGCCAGAAAGGGAACGAAGTCCCAAACCTGAACGTGGACGGATCCATTTCCGAGGCATAATCCGGGTCACGCAGGAGGTAAGCTGCAAAGGCCGCTCGCACCACACCAGGTCGGATGCGATAAGCCGAAAACCTCCGGAAGGACGGAACCGACGTACCCGGGGGAACACGGAACCGTACCCGGGGAGGGGCCGACACCAAATCCAACTCGTACGCAGAGGGGGGGAAAGAAAACCCCACTCCTTGTAACAATAAGCCCCGCTCAGTGGGAAGAAAAACCCAGGCGGGGTCCAGCGGGGCCCAAGGCCCCCAAGTCAGCCCCTCCCCAGCCTCGAGGTCCGTCACCACAGGACCCGAGGCCGAGTCCTCTCCCCAAGCCCCAACCCCACAAGACAAGGACGGAGCAGCCGGAAAAGCTGGAGGAAGGGGGGCCCACTGGTCAGACCCTGAAGCTTCGGCCGGGAGACAAGACTCGAATGCCTCTGCCGCCCCCCCGGAAGGGGCAACCCCCGAAGCTGCCCGAGTCTCGAGATCAAGTAACCCCTGCTCCGACCCCGAAACCCTCAGACGCTTCGGGGCCGGAAGCAGGGGCGGGGGACCAGAACGAACAGAAGGGGAAGGACGAGGAGGTGCGGACTGAACCAGGATCGAAGCGACCCCCACCCCCAAGTCCGGGTCTCGAAAAGCAAAGCGGGGCAGCCCCGGGGCATCCGGGGAAGCAACCAACCAAGCGCGTTGCAACAGACGAAACCTAGACTGCAACGCACGTGCCGCCTGTACCCGAATAGAATCATCAGAGGATTGGGTAAATTGAGTCACAAGCAAGCAGCAACACTCACAGGACTCAGGGTCGAAAGTATCACCGACCCAACAGGCAGCGTGGCAGAGGCAAAAACAATGAGGGTCACCCTGAGACAAGGGGACCGAGCAACCCTCAAACTCGCACACAGCGAGTGGGGACTCCGGGGTCACATCCATCAGACCCACGCGCCCCCTAGGGGATTCCCAGGGTCCTGAGCGTTTACTTTAAGAGGACTCGCGCTCAGGTAGTCCCAGGCAGGGTGCTGCAAACCGGCGCCCAAAACTACCAAGCAAACTTCTAAAGCTGAACCCCAGGGACGTGTACACTCACGGGGACCTAGCAGGGGGCGCCACTGAGGAGAACAGTGGAAGGGCAAAAACAAACTGAATAAAATGACAGAACCCCCCACCAGGCAAAAACAAAAAGAAAAACAAAACCCCGCAAGAGGACAGCGAACCCCAAGGAACAGAGCCGGCCGCGATGTCGGGAATTACAAGCTGAGCAGCACCCTGCGCCCCTACCAGTGCAAACTGCCTCTTACCTGCCGGTAACAAGGGAGAACAGAACACCCAAGAGCCCAACAGGCGGCCGAAAAACCGAAAGGTAAAACGGACCAGCAGAGGCAGACCCCGAGGAGCCTGTGGAAGGTGGCCCCAAGCCCCAAGGGCAGTACTTACAGGGCACCTAGGGAAGGCAGCCCTAGGCGCATGCAGCCCGAGTACTGAAGATAACTCCTGGCTCTCGCACCCACAAAACTAACACCACACTCAAAGCACAGTGCAGTAGCGACACCGGAGCCAGAGCACACGACCATCGCCTATAGCATCAGCCTCAAGAACTGAGGTGTGGGTAGCCGGCGCGGGGGGTCTGGGGCTCCCCCTTCCCCCTCCCGGGGAGGGGGGAGCTGCGCAGACAGCGGCGCGGCAGTGTGTGACGTCACACTAATTTGCTTGTTTTCGGTTGGGGAGTTCTATCCACTAGTTCGGTATTAGGTAGCAATTTTAACCAGAATAGGGGTTTGTTTTGGGGCGCTTACCTTTCTGGGTGCCTGTTCCGGTCGATGGCAGACATAGAATGCTTCCAACTACACGGGGGCTTCTATAGGCCATTGCTCCCCTTGCTTCTCTGAGGGGGCCCGGTTCTGGCCGTGGTCCCCGGTAGGCCTAAGAACTCCATACACATGACTGATGCCAAAGTCTGACATTAGCATATCAGCCTGGGATAGCTCCGGGGAGCCGACGGGGCTCCCCCCAGAAATAATAATAATACAGTAGAGGAAAGGCATAAATTTAAGCTTTAAAATGTACAGTACGGTAATAAGTATAATTATATTAAAAGTCATTAATTTCTGCAATTAAATATAATTTAATAAATGCAATCATACCTATTTAAATCAATACAGTATAAAATAAATCATTAAGAACTTTTACTAGGTAATAAACTTCTCAATTTGAATTTAATAATAATACAGCAACAATAATAATAGAATTCTATTATAACTATTATTTTCTATGGTTAATAAAACTAATTGAAAAAATATTGTATATAGGAACCTGGTCATCGGTGAGATTAGCAATGTTATATTGGTCTTCTTCTATTTCATTAAGGTCTATGTCAGAGTTCGGTCTAGGAAGGTGGCTGCCGCGTTCCTTCCCGACCGTCTTCTTCTTGGAAGTCCCCGTGAGCATCTTGTCCATCTTGGTCAACTTAACCAAATACAAAAATTATAATTAAAAATATTATCTTAATAGGTATCAGCACAAGATAATTAATCAATTATTTTAATAGTTGATGCCATATACTGTACTGTGCAGTACTATTTTAATCTTTCTTAGATAAATCTATGCAAAGCACTATAATTTAATGGTACAGTAATAAGTTTCTTGTAAGTTTTCAAAACAGAAATGCTTAAATGAACAAATTTAAAGTATAATATTTAATATGCATAATAAAGACAGATGCAGTTAAAGAATTACAATTTCCTCAGTGATTTTGTCATTCAAAGATACATTAAACCTATTTAAAATACTCTACAGAAATTTGACTCGAACAATTTTTTTTAACTACCCTAAAATGCCTGCCAAAAATTCTTTAGAAAAAACTTACGAAGCTCGTGGATTTGGATTTGTCGCTGCGTGACATTTTTCAAGCGGGGGACAAGAACAACTACACTACAAACAGGATAAACGTTATCTTGATTCTGGGAGCTACATTGGATTTCTGCACCGACTGACTGTGGTTAACCTGTAAAAGGAGGCTTCAATTAGACTGTAAACAAATAATGGAAAGTGGACATAGCTTATTTCTAACAATAAACTACTAGTACTTGCCCAAATACAAATTCATGACATTTATGCATTACACTGTACTTAGCAATACAGTAATACTGTACTGTAAACAATAACTTTATAACAATTTAATAACAGTGCCAAGAGTTCACATAACTGTTTATGTACACTAAAGTACACATTTACACGTCAAAATGCAATGACCAATATTTTGGGTCGTTCATGCCCAAAACCTGACAACAGTACAGTATTGTATATTTTTGGAGACGTGGTAAATACAGTAGTATTAAAAGAAGTAACTACTCATGTTGACCAAACCACACACTAGAAAGTGAAGGGACGACGACGTTTTGGACCGTCCTGGACCATAACGTCGTCGTCCCTTCACTTTCTAGTGTGTGGTTTGGTCATATTGTGATTCATCGCTTGCAAGTAACTACTCATATCTTTGAAGTCCCAAGTTCATTGTACAAATTCTATCAAATGAAAAAACCAGCATTGACCATAATGAAACAGCTCATTCTGGTTGGCCTCGATGGCATCTTGGAGCTGGTCGCACTCGGTCAGCTCCACATACGAGTCACAGCAGCCCAGAAGTTTCTGGAGTATCTTAGAAATTATGCCATTATCGGGAGAAGTTAATATGAAGGGCTTTATATATAATAATTCATTGTCGGGGGACAGGAAGCCAGAGTGTATTCATACACGTTTGGCCTTTATCAAGGTCCTCCCTCAATGGCCAAATCGAATTACTGATCATGCCCAGGACGCAACCCGACAACAAGCTGACTAATTCCTGAGTACCTACTCACTGCTAGGTGAACAGGCATTATGTGAGAGGAAATGTGCCCATTTCTGTCCCACCCAGAATTCGAACCCGGAATTCTCAATTGTGAGTTGAGAACGAACCCGACTGTACTACTGGGACCCATACCGGGGCCCCATACCGAGATGAACTATTATAACTTGTTAAAGTCAAGGTTTTCGAACAATGCATAGTACAATACAGTACTATGTGAAGAAAATTTGATTAAGTTTGTGATAATTAAAATTAGTTCTTGCACTATGTACTGCACAATTAGAATATATTTTATGGATTATAGTGACAAATTTTTTAATAGTAACCTTCGTTCAGTTAACAATAATTTTACTAAAATTAAAATAAACAGTATATACTCTTCATAATTAAAAAAAAAGTACTGCTCATAATTTTATAATATACATTTTTATATTACAGTATGTGTTATAATGCTGAATTTATAGTGAGGTACAGTGTATGAATAAAATTTCATGCATTAATGGAATATGTTTCTGTGCATTCATGCAGTGTATGATTTGCTGTATACTTTAATGAGCAAGTTTTGCCGAGCATACTCTGCTACTAAATAAGAAGAAAACTGTCACGCAACTCTGGAAGCTCACACACCATGATACATAATCAGGTCATTTCCTGTCTCAAAATGATATCAACTGGTGAAAATAACAACAACACATTTTCTTTATAATATTTTTTCTGAAGTAGTAGTTCACAGTGCAAGGAATTGCCACCAAATGCTAAAACCCCACTAATGCATATTATTAGTGTAGTGCATTAGGATGAGGAGATCCATGAACTAGGCTTACCAATCTCTTCAAAACTTGTATGCGAGCTGAATAGTAATTCCGAACAAACACTTGTGAAGTTCAGTAGATATATTTTCTTTTGGAAGATAACTGTTTTCTCAAGTTGTTATTTTATGCAGGTATATTCCAGGATTCTTCAGTTTACAGCTAAAAAATTACACGTTAGGTATTCTATATGCCAACACTGCAACACGACGAACATATACAAAATGTACAGCATATTAATAAACAGAATTATAGTGTTCAATACCTGTATAGTATTGTACTTCAAATTGTTTTAACTTTTGAAATTCCCCTAGGGAAGACAAAATACTAAAAGAATGTTTCCCATGACACTGAGGAATCACATTACAAGGGAGTAATCCAATGAGACATAACAAGCGAGCGGTTGAGCAAGACACCTGTTGATCACACCGAGGGACCAGCTGATGGAAGGGTTGCCACAAGTCTCCAGAGAAAGTGTCAGCATGATTCTCGCTGATTACATTCCCTGTCCAAAGCCTCTAATGATGTTCATGTATACACATTGCTATGCAGTACATGTAAACAGTTTGATTTGAAACCAATTCAAGCTGTTTTATTGGCAATCTAGGCTAAAGGAAAAATTTAACATTTGTCAATTTCAAGACATACATCCTCTATAAACATATTTATCACCTTTCAAAAAATGCCTTCCCTCAATACAATGAACACAATGCTAGTAGATAAATTCCAAAACAAAACAAAACAAAAATACAAGCCTTCTGAAAGAGGTCTGACAGCAGTGGGAGCTCAACCAACGAACAGCACAGATGCCCTTGAACACCTGTGTGCATATGGAGCCACAGGTGTGCACTAGGCAGCTGGATGGGGAGGGAGGGAATAGAGGCAGCCACTCTTGGTGCCTGAATCTATCATGCCAAGCAATTTACCTGACTAGTCTTGCCTTTTTGGAATATTGTACATTATCCTGTAGTGTTTGTATATACATATATATGTATATGATGTGTGTGTGTGTGTGTGTGTACACACACACACACACACACACACACACACACACACACACACACACACACACACACACACACACACACACACACACACACACACACACACACACAGGTGAGGTGTGTGTGTGGGTAACTAGGTGAGTACACACACACACATATTAAAAGAAGGTATTTGTAGTGTACAGAAGATTGCAAACTATCAACTGTAACGGATAATCATCTTAATTGAATTTTTTTTAATTTTCTATGAGTCTATGTAATAATCTATAATCAGTATCTGATTATCTACAGAATTATGATTATCTATATTTATAATCAACAAAACATAGACCATACTCAAATACTGTATAATAATTACTGTACCTATAATCATCTATAGTATCTAATGCCAATATTTATAATAATTACCTATGATTATTTTGATCATCAATAAGCATTATATAAAAATCAAAATTTGTGCCCTGAAGCTACATAAACACCCTATACCCCCCCGAAGTGCCAAGGGGAGTTAGGGGACAAGAATAAAGGCTATGGCTTTCATCCTTGATTATTATTATTAATCAATCATAACCATTTCCTTATGTCAAATTGTAATTATACATTAAACAATGTTTTATTTAAAACCACATACCAGTGTCTTTAGTTTTAGACTGATGTAGGAAGCATACACAGGATATCACAAAGAGAAATTCCTGAAACCAGCAACTTCAAGAACAAGTGGACACAGATTCAAGCGAAGGAAACAAAGGTGCCGAAAAATATTAGAAAGTTTTTTTTTTTTTTTTTTTGCAAACAGAGTGGTAGACGGTTGGAACAAGTTAAGTGAGAAGGTGGTGAGATGAAGGTTATGGTGGTGAAGGTATGACAAATACGGCAAAGCGTACTGGGAAGATGGGACACCATGAGTGTAGCTCTTATCCTGTAACTACACTTAGGTAATTATCCTATAGGGCAACAGGTCTCATTTGAAAATGAGACAAAGCAGACTGTAGGACCAGAAAAACATTAGACAAACCTGAGACAATTAGCATATGCAAAGTTTACAGTAAGGTTACCATGTTTTTTGTTTAGTTGCTTGGTTTGGTGTGCTCTACCTTTCCAATGGATTTTCTTTTGACCTCAGTTGGCCTTGTATACTCTGGTCCCTGTGGCTCAGTGGTAAAGCACCTGAGGCACCTAGCACTCAGGAACAAGAACCTACCCAAGGTAAAGGTGTACAGCTGAACACCCAGACCCCAGTTCACCAGGCAAGGAAGAGTGAGAAGCAAAACAAGAGCCCCATGATACAAAAAAAAGTCACCCTGGGAGGCGAGTGCAGAAAAGTGCATCAAAGACAACCCCAGAACCCTGCTACAGCAGCAGAAAATGCTGGTAGATGGGTAGGCACTGTCACTACGAGAAAAAACTCACAAAAGACTGACTGCTCAGCATCCCACACAGTAAGATGGATGCTCTCCATGGGACCACCCAAAGGCCTCATAAGAGACGTCCAGTTGATCTCAACGTCTCTGATGAGGAGGTTTTGCAGGTCCACTGTGGCCTTGCCTCTGATCTCTTAGTTGTAACCAACACCAGGAAGTATGGGTATGCCACCAGGATGTTTCATCTGAAATTTACCGGTCCTGTCCCCTCCACCCTCCACAGTCCTCCTCTGGCATACTGCTTATGATGTCCAGTAATATTGCATCTCACTCCTCAGGTGCTTCATTTCCCACCATTTCACTTACAGCTGTTTGATTTGCCACAAGGTGTACTGTGCAACCTGTGGGGGGCCACCACAGTCACCATGGAGTGGAGGGGTACAAGTTGTACCAACACCCCACACTGATTTTTCTACAGCAGGTCACACAAGGCAACATCCAAGTCATGCCCCAATGTATGACCCGCCATAGAAAACACCAAGTCATATGGTGATACATATGACCCCTTTTAAGCAAATTTTGCCAGTACTGTATAACCATGTACTCTCCTTCACCAACTTTAATAGCCACAGCAACTTGGTAGGGAAATTATTGGGGGCCTGGAAAGCTGTACTTCCTCAAGCTCATTGCTCACCAGTAATTACCTAAGTGAAGTTACAGGACGAGAGCTGCGTTCGAGGTGTCCCATCTTCCCACGAGCATAGCTCTCATCCTGTAACTACACTTAGGTAATTACTTGCAAGCGATTACCAGACATTACCTTTACCAAACACTACCAGTGTAAAGTCCTTAATGTTAACCCTTAAACTGCGCAAAACTGCATATTGTATGAAGTTTTGAGTAACTGACACAAAAGTGCGCATCACTGCATATGAAGTTTTGGAGTACTAGGCAAAAAACTAAACGGCCTGCAGATACACAGGGTTCACACCACCTTCCTCAGGGCTTTTGTAAACAGACGCCATTTAAAAAAAAAATTGTGGGCAACATTCCCGGGTGTGAGGGCCTCAGTACTAAGTGAGCCACCAAAACTGGCGCATGCAGCATGAGCTCACAGTACTGCTGTTCAGTTTGTGACCACAGCATCGCCTAAAAATGTAAAAAATACATGTAACTGGTATTATTTAGCGATGATAGTATTACAGACGACCCCTGACTGATATAAATGACCAGGATTCTGATAATAGCAGGATTGTTGTAATAATTTGCGCTGTGCTGTGGGAGGAGTAATGTTGAGGGAGGGAGGGCTGTAGTGTCGTCTGCCAAATCTGTGTGGCCACCTGTTGCTGTCTGCACTTACTATACTGTACCAGCTTAGTGGTTGGCTATGGTGAACAAAACATGCAGATATTTATATATAACGTCTGTATATAGTGAATAAAAGCAAAAACAGTGTGGTGGGAGGAGAATGTTGGCGACTTGAGGTGAGGGAGGGCTGGCTGGTGTGCCGGCCACGCCTTGCCGCTTTTTGACTCGGCATACCAACTTAGTGGTTCGTTATGGTGAAGACAAATGTAGATACTTATGTGTGTATATCACGAAAATAAACACGTGATTAAGAATGTGACAATGTCAGACCACGGAGGAAAAATGAAACAGGAAGTATATATACTAATCTATATCTATATATATTATCTATATATAAGTAGATACTTATATATAACATGTATATATAGTGTAATAACAGCAAAAGAAGTGTTGGGAGAAGCCATTTTAGTGAGGGAGGTGGCATCATCTTCCAGACTTGTCATGCTGTGTAAGGGTGGCCACTATGCTCTTTATGCACTATACCAGTTTAGATGAACAGTTATGGTAAACAAAACATGTAAATACGTATATATAACATCTGTATATAGAGAATAAAAGCAAAAACAGTATGGTGGGAGGAGGATGATGGCGAGTGAGGAGTTTTTGAGGGAGTGGCGGCAAGTGCTTGGCTGGTTGGTGTGTTGTAGCCACTTCTCTTTGCTTTTTGACTCACCATTTAAACTTAGTGGTTTGTTATGGTGAACAAAACATGCAGATACTTGTATATAACCTGTGTATATATAGTGTAATAACCGCAAAAGTATTTCTTCATTGTTTTATGAACATAATAATTGAATCTATAATATGCACACCATATTTTTGAGTACAACGATAATTCACACATTTTATTACTGTATATAAAATGTGTGAATTATCGTTGTGTTTTTATTATATAACTATATTTTATTATATAACTATATTTTATTATATAACTTTTATTAAATAACTATATCACACTACACACTAATGAATAATATTACTGCAAAAAAATAAAGAAAAAATCGGAGACATTGAAATAATTAGGTAATTATATCTTTGTGACAACTCCCGCCTGACAGTTGGGGCGAAGCAGACCTCTCCAACGCTTGCTGTGTCAGCGCCTCTTTTTTGCCAGACTTTCCACCCTACTGTGGCCAAAATATGCCACTTACAATTTTTTTATTATTTTTTTCCGTGATCAGGGAACACAAATGAACACTTATAAGACGAAATATATATATATATCTATATTTTTTTTTTTTTTTTTTGGTGCCTGTGGGTGTTGAAAGCCAAATAGCCCAGAGCCGCTTAGGGTTAACTAAAAACTGGCACTCTATTTCTCCTCCAGATTCTACCTGGCTTGTACCTGGATGGATGTGTTTGGTTTCGAAGATTTGGCAGGAACTTTTTTTTATGCTTACCTTGTGATTACTTTACAATGATTTTGGAGCTCAAGGTCCCTGCGGCCCAGTCCTCAACCAGGCCTCCTGATTGCTGGACTGGTCAACCAGGCTGTTGGGTGCGGCTACTCCAAACCTGACGTATGAATCACAGCCGGTCCTTTCTAGATAAGGACTCTGAGCCTTCTTATATGTGTCCTGTCTCACCTTGGTATCAAATGTAATGAGTTGGCAAATGTGGGGGCGCATCCTAGGCTTATGTTCCAAGGGACAGTCGGACATCTCGCCTCCAATCCGATGTTAATCAAGTCTTTCAATGGGCCACAGAAAATAACATGTCTAATGAAGATAAGTTCAAATTACTGCGCAAAACAAAAACATCAAAGTGTAAACCACACATAAAACACAGTCATACCACACTATTGAAAGAAATGAAACATCTAAATTAGTGGTATTGGGTCAGCCTTCAAATTTTAAATCTGTATTCCCTAGAGTGCAGGTGGGAGATAAACTTAATTTACATCTGGAAAACATTCGAAGGATTGGTTCTAAATCTGAAAACAGAAATAACTCCACAAGAGACCAGAAGGTATGGCACGATTTGCAAAATCATGCATTGAAGAGCAAAGGTGCAATAGGCATGCTGAGAGAGAACTTGATCAACATCAAAGGCCCAAGACCTTTCAACACACTTTCCCTACACATAAGATGCATAACTGGCAAACTCTTGTAGTGTTCAAAGAGAACTCAACAAGCACCTTCAAGGGCTACCTGATCAACTAGGCTGTGAATCGTATGTCAGGTGCAAGCATCCGTATCAAACAGTGGTTGATCACAGCCTGGTCTGAGACCGAGCCTAGGGAAAGATTGATCCTCGAAATCACCATCGGGTCCAACAGGTCCACTGGAGGCAGTTGAAGTTCAATGCATCTTTCAACAAGCATGTTAGCAGTGGATGGTAAACAAGTGGCTCTCAATCAGAAGAGGCCTCTATTGGTGCTTGTAGGCATGGCACAGGAAATTTACACTGGAGAAAGCAATCACCCACCTGCAAATTGGCCAAAACCTGTCCTGGAGGCCTGGTCGACGACCAAGCCGCGGGGACACTAAGCCCCGGAAGCACCTCAAGGAGGGCACGTGTTCTAATTGCATCCAATTTACGATCCGTTTTGCCAATGGTGCCTTTGTCACGTGGTACCTATTACACACTTTCTGTGAAGCTGGACATAGTCTTTTAGCAGTACCATCTCCACTTCCTGCTCTGGTGCAGCAGGGCTCCATAGGGCCTTGAGCTGTCACAGTTAAATCGACAACATTGAGTTATACCAGGTTAGGGTCAAAATAAGTTTGCAAATCCCTCGCAATAGTTTGCTTGTGGGCTAAATTTTGAAGGCCACATATGAGTATACCACTGACCTGCATGTATGCAGCAACATTAGCACTGTTGCAGGTTTTCAAACAATCTGAAGGCTCTTGTCATTAATCCACAGATGACACACTGATTTTCCACGATAATCTCTTACTACTCTTGGGGTTTCTAAAACAATTTGCACAGTCAATAACAAGCTGAAGAGGGAGATAAGCTATTATGAACACTGGGAAAAGGCAATATCCTCGACCTGTTGAATCATAGGTCAGGCCTCGCCCATTGAGCACCCACGACCGGGGGGGTCACGGATCCTCGGCCCCTCTCCCTCTACCCACGAGCCCTGGCTCACTAGCCCTCCTTAACTCAAAGTCTCCCACAGCAGACCACCGGCTGCATGGCTAGGAGGCGGGACCGCACGCGGCAAGGGCTGACATCACCGCCAAAACATTTTTACAACGCTCATCATACCTGACTTGGGCGCCATCTTGCCACTTTCACACCCATAACAAGCCCCCTTCTTAAATACTCCTTATGTAGTAGCGCTTTGTCACCTTACCTTCTTACTGTAGCCTCCAAGCTGGAAATGACATAAAGATTAATGTTACTTTCAACTATTTTCGTATTTTAGAAGTGGTTTAAGGGATTTAACGGGCTGTAGGGGCGGTAATTAGGATGGTAATCCGACGGTATGTGAGGCGGAGATGGTAAGTGGAGGCAATCGGGGCGGTATTGTTGTGGTGCAGTTGTTGGTCGTTGTTGACAGCTGCTGGTAGCTGCTTCCTGCTGCACCTGCTGATCGCGGCTGACTCCTGCAACTGCTCGACGCTTGACAGCTCCTGGGTGCTAACAGTTGCAACTGCTGGATGCTTGTCGCTGATACCTGCACCCACTGGATGCTGACACCCGCACCCACTGGATGCTGACACCCTCACCCACTGGATGCTGACACCCTCACCCACTGGATGCTGACACCCGCTGGATGCTGACACCCACATCCACTGGATGCTGACACCCGCACCCACTGGATGCTGACACCCGCACCCACTGGATGCTGACACCCGCACCCACTGGATGCTGACATCCGCACCCGCTGGATGCTGACACCCGCACCCACTGGATGCTGACACCCACAACCACTGGATGCTGACACCCTCACCCACTGGATGCTGACACCCTCACCCACTGGATGCTGACACCCACACCCACTGGATGCTGACACCCTCACCCACTGGATGCTGACACCCGCACCCACTGGATGCTGACACCCGCACCCACTGGATGCTGACACCCGCACCCACTGGATGCTGACACCCGCACCCACTGGATGCTGACACCCGCACCCACTGGATGCTGACACCCGCACCCGCTGGATGCTGACATCCGCACCCGCTGGATGCTGACACCCGCACCCACTGGATGCTGACACCCGCACCCACTGGATGCTGACACCCTCACCCACTGGATGCTGACACCCGCACCCACTGGATACTGACACCCGCACCCACTGGATGCTGACACCCGCACCCACTAGATGCTGACACCCGCACCCACTGGATGCTGACACCCGCACCCGCTGGAGGCTTACACCCGCTGGAGGCTGACACCCACACCCACTGGAGGCTGACACCCACACCCACTGGAGGCTGACACCCACACCCGCTGGAGGCTGACACCCACACCCGCTGGAGGCTGACACCCACACCTGCTGGAGGCTGACACCCACACCTGCTGGAGGCTGACAGGCTGACACCCACACCTGCTGACAGGCTGACACCCACACCTGCTGACAGGCTGACACCCACACCTGCTGGAGGCTGACAGGCTGACACCCACACCTGCTGACAGGCTGACACCCACACCTGCTGACAGGCTGACACCCACACCTGCTGGAGGCTGACAGGCTGACACCCACACCTGCTGACAGGCTGACACCCACACCTGCTGGAGGCTGCAGCGGCCACCCACACCTGCTGGAGGCTGCAGGCTGCCACCCACACCTGCTGGAGGCTGCAGCGGCCACCCACACCTGCTGGAGGCTGCAGCGGCCACCCACACCTGCTGGAGGCTGCAAGCGGCCACCCACACCTGCTGGAGGCTGACAGGCTGACACCCACACCTGCTGGAGGCTGACAGGCTGACACCCACACCTGCTGGAGGCTGACAGGCTGACACCCACACCTGCTGGAGGCTGACAGGCTGACACCCACACCTGCTGGAGGCTGACAGGCTGACACCCACACCTGCTGGAGGCTGACACCAGCATCTGTTGGACACTAACAATTGCAGCTGCTAGATGTTGACACATCTTCAGTCTTCCCCTGGCACCTTGCCACCAACATTGTCACAGCTCACACATCTTTCATTACCTTGTCTCAGCACCTAGAAGTCATGTAGTGTGCCAGAACCGTAAGGGTCGTTGTGCTACTCGGGATTGGGTTGGCGAGACGAGACAAACGTGAGCCTTTGATGGCTTAGATCACGGGGTAATTTCCAAAGAGGTCCAAAGTCTTCATAACACTGGATTGCTACAGAGGAATACAGGTACAGGGACTGTAAAATTTGGGGTTTGTGTGTGTGTGTTTTTCAAACCCTACTTAACCTAGATATATTAAAATATTTATATTTTGTTGACATGAGAAGTCAGTAAATGTACCTCATAGCACTAGGGGTAAATACAATTTTCGAATTCATTTGTGAAATGCTCTTAAATTCTAAAATATAAAATAATGTTACACATTCCAATGTATTTCAGACTAAAGGCAGGACCAAAGAGCCAAAGCTCAAGCCCCACAAGCACAACTAGGTGAGTACATTTGCTAAATTTATAGAAGAGAGCAAAGGATAAGATGATCTAAACAGTAATTCATAAAGATGATCTTTCTGACATTGCAATAACAAGTTCTAATTAAAACTAATGATTATGTATGATAGTTACTAATCTGTGATGTTTTCCAGGTTATTTGGGATTAGGTCCGATATTGAATGAGAAACGGCGGCACTGTAACTTCAAATATGGATAGCTATTCTCCTAAGCTGGCAGGAGAGCTACACACCTACAATTACAACAGTAGTTCACAGCATTTTGGGTCTGTATCAGGTGGTGTGCCAGAGTCTATTCAACCTATGACGTCTTCTCCCCAGTTTGTTGCCCAGCAGAGTCATTCATCTAGCCAGGTAGGTCAACTTTCAGGAAGGAAAAGACAGACAGACATATTATCTTTTAATTTTTGGTGGGGGTGGGGGGTGTAACCTGTGGCTTTAAGATTTAATTAAGTGATCCATTTCAAGAAAGTAGCTTGAAATGCTTGCCAAAACGCTGTACATATTAGTGGCTTTATGCAAAGTATATACAGTATTAGCTCTATCTCGAAATCCAACATTCTTCTTGTAACTCATTTTGTTTATATGTACTTTTACCTAAATAAGGTATTATTATTATTATTATTATTATTATTATTTATTATTATTATTATTATTATTATTATTATTATTATTATAATATAAAGTACCATATAGACATCATTTTCAGTTAGAGAGCAACACAGGCTTAACACCAGGGCCAGCAACTAGCTTACAAGAAGAATTTTGCGAGGGGACTGGTGTTGGAGGAGGTGGCGGGCGCAAGAAAAAAAAGAAACAGAAAAGCGGAGACGTTCCAAGTGCTGCTATGAAACCCAACCTAATGGCTGAAGAGGACCTTGTTGATGCTGCCATACCACTGATCTCAGAAAATCAAGGTCTGTATTTCTGTGTTTTATTCTGTTTTTCTTTTGCTTTACTCTATTGAATATCCATGTACAGTGTCCTTGGAGAATATACAGCCATAATAAAGGTGATCCATGATCTACAGTATCCACTCAATTTAACGGCCTATGTGGGGCTGTACCCTGGTCCTTATTTCCGGAGCTCCGTTATTTCCAAAGTTAAGTCGGGTCGGGTAATTTTTCAAGTAACATTCAGGTAGGATATATTTTATACTGTATAACTAAAATTAAATAAAGTTCATTGTGTAATTGCATTCCAATTTAGTGCCATGCCGATGATTAAGCCAGTTGTTGGCTGCTGCATGGATGATGTGTGAACACGGTCTGATCAAGCCCAGATGGGTGGGAAAAAATTTATTCATTCCTTTGTATTGCAAAATATTTCATGTATCAATCAGCAAGTTAATATTTTCTCAATAATATTTTAGAGGTGTGTTTTGATTTACCCTGAACAGTGCAGGTAATGTATTTTTAATGTTACAACACAGGCTGTGGCGGCCATGCCATAACAATGGCGATCGAGCCTTGTCACTGAGAGCTAGCCAAGACGAAATATTTTGAGCTCACCTATTCTCTGCTGACGATAGAATATACATTTGCAGAGACTAATATGTAGCTTTTGTTGAAAAAAAACAATTAATTTCTTGTAATACTATAATAAAATTGGTAAATTGACTTACTTTTAATGAAGCTGAAGATTACGAAGCTGTGAAGATTACGTCATCCTCTGCAGCGCTTGTTTTATATTGTTTATATTGTATACAGGGTACATACTGTATGTACACTTATTTTCAGGCATATTTTAATAGAGTATCCTTCTGTTTCTTGATGTCACTTACTGTACTTTTCCCGATGTTAAACTCTGCTGCTGCTCGTGCATGAGAATATCCTTTATCAAGTTTCTTAATTAACTCCAGCTTCTGTGCAACCATCAGGCGCTTCCTTTGGGTAACTTTTGGCATTTTGTAAATTAAAAAGAAGATCACAATTACAGTACAGTAATATCCTTCACAATTGAAGCTAGCCGCGCGAGTTCACGGTAAACAATGGGAACACATGGCCCGGCGGAGTACATTCTAGGTCCGTGGGAAAAAAAATACCTAGTGCCTATACTATAAAAGGTATTTAATAAGAAAACAAAAACTTTTGCTTAATAAAAACTGTTTCAAAATATTTGTTAATAATAATTTACAATTTTCTTCATTAAAGTGAATCATTTTAAAAGAAAATTAAGATGTAATATATGACTCTGGACGATCCAGGTCGGTGGCCTGGTCGCCATGTGAGGGGACGCTGATGCCACAACAAACCCAATACTGACCGTCGGTAATATCGACCGCCAGACCGGTATAGCAGGCTCCAGATACCGGTCTCCCAAACTGCTCGTTAATACCGGCAGATCGGTATAAAAGAGGCCGTTAAATTGAGTGGATACTGTACTTGAAGATATTAAGCTTGGAAGATTAGTATTACTATGCTATGTACTCTCATAAACCCAATATACATTTTTGAGTATAAATAAATAAATAATATATTTATTTTATGACAATAATATACTCCAAACTCATATTAGCTTATTGAGATGGGTTTGTTCAATCTACTTAATCTACTAATGAAAACTCATACTTCTTCCCTAATTAGTTAAGGAAGAGGTAACTTCTTCAATTACCTCATACAGTTAACTGTAATTTGGGAAAAGGTATAAGTTGTCATTAGTTTATTAACTGTAATTGGGGAAGAGATATAAGTTGTCATTTGTGTATTAACTGTAATTGGGGAAGAGGTATGAGTTGTCATTAGTGGATTAACTGTAATTAAGGAAGAGGTATAAGTTGTCATTAGTGGATTAACTGTAATTGTTAATACACTAATGACAACTCATATCTCTCTCCCAATTACAGTTAATACAGAGGTATGAGGTGTCATTAGTGGATTAACTGTAATTAGGGAAGAGGTATGAATTGTCATTAGTGGATTAACTGTAATTAGGGAAAATGTATGAGGTGTCATTAGTGGATTAACTGTAATTAGGGAAGAGGTATGAATTGTCATTAGTGGATTAACTGTAATTAGGGAAAAGGTATCAGTTGTCATTACTGGATTAACTATAATTAGGGAAGAGGTATGAGTTGTCATTAGTGGATTAAGTAGACTTGACAAACCTATCTCATTATGCTAATAAGAGTTTGCAGCAGTATATTATTGTCATAAGATACTACATAAGGAAGACTAATTGGTGTGTTCAAGATAGTTTGGATCATTAATACAATTTGCTCCTGTACAGTTGGCTGTACTGTATTCTGATTGAACAATGATTACCTGTATGCTTATCAGCAAACTGTGTATGAATAAATGTAACCCATCAGTTCTACAGTATACATATTTCTTGTAACTATGACTTTGATAGCCATTTTGAAACAAAATTAGCAAGGTTCATTACCATTGTACTCTAGTATACTTTCGCATAGATAATTTGGGTGTAAAATAAACAAAGGAATTTGTGTTTATTCTCAGGGATGAGTATGTATTTCTTTAACATCTTTGAACTGGATAAATAAAAAGACTTGATTGAAGAAAAATACAATGTAAGATAGTTTGACAAGACAATATTCTCACACAATTAAAATTATAGGTACAGGTAGAACAAAATGACTACAAAACAATTTCATTCATTGGCTGATTTATGACAATATTTTAAGATCTGTGGTGACAGTCCAGGATGAATACAGTATCCTGTAACAGAACAGTGAGTTTTACTGTAACGGAACAGTAATTGGAAGGCAGCGAGAGTGACTTGCTAGATGTGAGACTGTAAACTGAGATCCGTCTATGTGGTGGTAGGAATTCCTGTATAGGCCTAGGAGGTTCCTAGGAAATTAAACCTTCCAGGAGCAGAGGTAGAGGCTGAAGGCAAAACAAGTTTTTACCAATTTAAGCCTTAGGTGTAGTAACTTCTGAATTTGACTCTCCAGAATTTACTTATTTCTGGTAGGTGCTGTGTAGAGAGAGGGACGTATGCATTGTGTGCACACATTTACATAGTTAAGGGTTCCTCCGTATTATATGATAATATTTTAGGGGTTCTACTGTGATAAAAAGGTTTGGAATCACTGGTGTAAGGAATAGAAACTTATTATTACCATAATAATACGTATTGTTCAGCAAATCACAGTACAATATTCTCCTGGTGGGAAATCCTGGTGGGATTTCTGTGATTAGAGTTGATGTTTCAGTGCAGATTTTGGAGCTGCAAGACCATAAAAGATCAATTAAATACAATTTGAATTTCCTACTAATGATTGGTACATGATTTACTCATTATTCTTTTGTATACTAAATAAAATTATTGTTACCTCTATTAATTTAGACCAGGAACTATATAGACTAATTGGAAAGCACACTTTCTTTTCCATTTGCAATGATATTGGCAAATATTTTATGTGCAACATATTAGATGAGATTATTCTGAAAGGGTAAAGGAAACTTTAGGCTTTGCAAATTTGATTATTGGGATATGACGTAATCCGAGTGTGATATTTTTTGGTCGATTCAAATAGACACGATATAAAAGTAGAATTTATTAATGGCATTACTTTCATTGTTTTATATAATTCTGGAATATGTATAGATAATGTTGTTTGTATTCTAGCAGGTGTGGAAGATCTGTTATTTCCAGCATCATTGCCCTCAACTGGCGGAACATTAGTGGGTGGCCATTACCTTCTTAACAATAACCTGCTTGATCAGATACTGACAGAAAAGAAAATGGTGAGTGTGTGTGTGAGCGCTGCACTGTTCTTCATTACTCGAGTATCCACATTATTAGAGTACTGTACTGTAATTTGATATCCAGCTTTGTTGCTCGTGTGCCATCTCAAGTTTTATTGCTTAGTGAAAGCGTGACTTTCTGGCTCATTGTTTACATTAGTTTGTGACATCTGCAGAAAAGTTAAATACTGTAATGTTAACTTAACACAAGGAAATTTGGGTGACACTTTCAAACTTTTACAGTGTATCACAGAAATCACATTGGCATACTTCTCACAATTTTAGTGTCATTATATATTTTTACTAGTGTGATGATAAATGAGTTTTTGTGCAAATAAAGCATTATGAATGAAGCTGTTTAATTTGTGTATATTACTTGACAGTTACATTTCCAGTGAAGTACTGGTACTGGTACATTAATAATAATAATTCATTGTGTTGGGGGAGCAGACAGCCAGTGTGTATGTATGCATGTATATATATGTATATATGTTAGGCCTATATCGAGGTCCTCTCCAAGGTTGAACTATTGACCCTCTTCAGGATGCAGCTCCCCCACAAGAAGCTGACTAACTCTTTGAGTTGAATCCTGCTCACCTAGCAGAAATTTACTGCTAGGTGAACAGGGGCATTTGATTATAGGAAACGCACCCAACCATTTATTTCCTTTGGGATGGACGGTAGAGCGACGGTCTCGCTTCATGCAGGTCGGCATTCAATCCCCAACCGTCTAAGTGGTTGGGCACCATTCCTTCCCCCCATACCATCCCAAATCCTTATCCTGACCCCTTCCAAGTGCTATATAGTCATAATGGCTTGGCACTTTCTCCTGATAGTTCCATTCCATTCTTTCCCACCTGGGATTCGAACCCAGAATTCACAATTGAGAGTCGAGAGCAAACCTGACTGTACTCTAGCAAATGTCGCGCACATACTGTAAATGTGCATGACTGTGATATTGAGGCCTTAATATTTTCACAAAATGCCATAATGATCATATTTTTAGGCCACTCATATTTACCCATCAGGTCAGTAGTACCAGTAATATGAGTATTATAAGCAGTAAAGCTGAGGCAATGTTAACCTGTTATAAATACAAAAAAAATATGGGCGAGTGCTCCTTAAAATGCTTGTTTTCTTTTAATTGTACATACAGGCATACAGGTATATGGTTTAAATATTGCTTTTATTTAATTATTTTCTAAGCACTATTAAATGTGCATTAAAAAATAATTGGTTTAGGATAGGAAAGTTAAAAAGAGGAGGATTTAAAATAGGAGAGCTGAATATAATTGGTATAAATAAAGGACCTTTTGATTACCTGGCTCCTGTTAGCATTCAAACAGCTATTTAATGTATGTGAAGGTTTGAAGGTGAGTGGTAGCACCATATGATGAGGTCTGAAAGGGAAGTTAAAAGGGAAAAGCAGAATAGGTGATCCTTCGGTTGTCATAAAGAGCAAAGGATTGTCTTAACAACACTCCGGTGTTAGAGTTCTTGAGATTATGTGGATCCAGTGTAAATTTAGCAACATGCGTGATCTAGTGTGTGCTTGTGGTTCTAAAAATTATGTGAATATGCCTGAGAAGGGAGTACAGTAGTAAGGTTTTGGAAAAGTGGAAAAGGAATTCGCCATTCTGCTGTGTGAGTGGAGAATAGTTTCATTTCATCAACAAACCTTTAAATATTAGTTTCCTTCTTCATTCATACCTTTGAATAATTACCAGTACAAGATTGAAAATTTACATAGATCACTGATACATATTGTCACTAGCAGTACCTGGCCACGCGTTGCTGTGGCTCAGTAATGCATGTGCGTTGCTGAGCCACAGCAACAAGCCAATAAATCAAAATCTATGAAAATTCAATTTATCAATGCAATCAGAAACATTTAAATGGAATTGTAACATATTTAGTATAGCATGTGTGTTGCTCTTACATGCAACAGATGGCCCTGTTTTTCCAAGAAAAGCATAGTTTTACCTGTCACAGGTGTGGCATCTATACTTGTAATTACAAAATGAATGGCATGGTAAACAACACAGCTCAATTCCAACACAATGCCACACAAAATAATTCAATAAAAAAATAAATCAAAATCTATGAAAATAAAATTTATCAATGCAATCGGAAACATTGAAATGGAATTCGTGACATATTTAGTATAGCATGCATGTTGCTATTATGTGCAACAGATGGCGCTGTTTTTCAACAATGCATGTTTTTACCTGTCACAGGGGTGGCATCTATATAGTAGGTATATAAAAAAGACACGCCTATTCGAATGCAACGTTGTCAAAATTTCAAAGCAATTGATGAAGAGCTTCCTGAGATTAGCGGTTGTGCACAAACGAACATTTCCATTTATATAGATAATAAGTAAGAGGTACTTATCGGGAAGGGAAACCAAAGAAGCACTTCTGAAAAAGGTCTCGTGAGGACATAACCATCCTAGCTTTAAATGTTTGTCATCCACGTGTACCTGGATGGGGTTCCGAGAGCTCGTCTACTCCCCAAGGCCGGCCCGGGGCCAGGCTTGGCATGTGAGAGCTTGGTCCAACAGGCTGTTGCTTGGAGCGGCCCGCAGGGCCTACATATCCGTCACAGCCCAGTTGGTTCGGCACTTCTTGAAGAAAGCTTGCTTAATGATGGCAATTAAAATTGGTATCAGGGTTGGCACAACCTTCATGATGAAGTCGTCCAAAACATTCTGAAAACCTGCTGTGATGATCTGTTTTGCTGGATAGTATACTAGAAGATAACCATGCAGTTTAAATACATAAGATAATATATTTTAAAACTTTTTCTTTTCCGTTTTCAGCAAATACTGCAGTCACCTGATGTAATAGAATTCTTGAAGAAACAGATATCTAAGAAATAAGTTTCATTGTAAGGTTACACCAAGAATTCTCTGTGAATGTATAAAATAGACAAATATGTAAATAAGATTTAGTACTATATTTTATTTGTAAATTTTTTAGTAATTAGGGGAAAAAATATCTTCAATGTTAAAGCACCTAAAAATAAAATTATACAATACTAAAATATAATTTTTAATATAATCCTTTTAATTCTACACTCAATATACATTTTTGAATTAAACTCATGATAGCATTAGGTAAGAGCTATAAGAAATTATCTTTTACCAATATTTACAATCAGTGTCATGTGTCATACCTCTGTAACTTTTTTTTTGTTTTAACGCTTTGCCAGTCTGGCCTCTCCACACGTTCCTGACCATAGATGTTCTGGACTCTGGGGGCGGCTCATGGGACCTCTCGGCAATACAAAAAAAATGTTCACACTCATTCTGTGTTTTCCAAGTTAATTTTTGGTTATAAGTAAATTTGGTGCCCAAATGCTTGCAAATGAATTATCTAGAGAATAGGTGCAAAATAGTATTTATAATAGATTATGCGTGACAATGGCAAAAATACGAATGTTTATGAATAGCAATCTGATGATGCATTTTAGCACCATTGGAATGTGAGTGTTAATGGGAGTAAAGTTTACTGTGTAATGGGGAAAAAAGTTAAAATTTTCATGTTTGGTTCTGTCTTGTTTCTAGACCCCTGATCATATATGATTCCACTTGGATAGTAGATTAGGATATTGTTGATATAGTTCTGTGGCACCTTGAGTCTTACTTCATTTGTACTTTCTGGGGTTAGGCCTTTGTTATCCCCCCGTCTGGTACTGCTGGATATTTGTCAACAGTTCAGATAGCCACATCCCACTGGGTATGCATGGCCTGTTTGTTATATATTTCATATTTTAGAATTATGTATTAGATTATTATCATTGCTTAAGCATCACATTTTAGTTGTTTTATGGCACTCACACACCTGTGACTCGGTTGCTGTGTTGCTTTCAGGGAAGCAAGTCAAGTTTTTAGACTGGGTTCAAGGGTTTTCTCACCTGCAGGTGTGCGATATTTGTTGCTGCTGGGCGTCTTTGATGATTCAAGGGTGTTTGACCTATGAAGTGGCTTCCACCTCCTGCAAGCACTTAACAGTACTTGCTTTTATAGTCTTCAACTGTACTATGGAAGGTGAGCCTTTTATCTTTTATAAGAAAGAATTGAAGCTTTAGTTAGGTGAACATGTGCTACATCTGGACATTCCTCTGGTTCATCTTCTGATGCAGGAGTTTGATCTGTTTGCGATATCGTTTAATGCTTCTTCCTTCCTATCACCCTTCTTGAGATGATTTTGGGGGCTTTGCATCCCCGTGGCCCGGTCCTCGACCAGGCTCCATTTTGTTACACATCTCCCAGGAAGCAGCCCGTAGCAGCTGTCTAACTCCCAGGTACCTATTTACTGCAAGGTAACAAGCTCATTAGGGTGAAAAACTTTTTGCCCATTTGTCTCTGCCTCCACCAGGAATCGAACCCGGAACCTCAGGACTACGAATCCGAAGCGCTGTCGACTCAGCTGACAGCTGATTACCCTTGATTACAACTAATAAATAGTCGGCTTGGGATCTTCCCGTTTCTGAGGTATTGGTGCTGATTTTTGCCGTTTGAGTGAGGATTTGTTGGTGGAAGTGAAGGTCGACACACCAGCCCAATTTCTCCTCCGGGGTACATTACTTGTGTTTGTATGATAATGCGGAGGCCGCTGCTGTTGAAAGGGGTTGGGGTCTTCACTGAGGGTGCTCAAGCCCCTTTCTCTTATTTTTTTTTCCTATCTGGTTCAGGTTTAGTTTTAGGCTCCATCCCTGGTCCTTCTCTTGAGGAAATTGGTTACAGAATGCTGGACAATGGCCCTTTGACCCAGAATGGGCAGAGGTGTAAAAATCTGAGAGGTATGTCTCTAGATTAGTTCACCTGCTTATCCTCCATCACAGTTTGAGCTGGATGCCGAGACATACCCCCTTCAGTCACATATTTTGGTCCCTGTCTAGGGCTTGGATTCACCCTCTACAAATTTTAGCATTCGAGTTTGGCTTCGCAACCACTTCATTATGTTAGGTGGGTTCAAATTCTTTGTTGGTTGGTTGGTTGGCAAATTCATTATTCAAAATGGATTTTTAATGCAGCATTATTTGCCCCTGCCCTTCTCCATCCGAGTTTGTGGCAACTTTATATCCAGGTTCCAAAAATGGCTGTGACTTTGATCAGTGTAGACCACAAGGCTCAGATGTGTCTAGTGGAGGTTCTCTATTTTTGTGATTTCTGGAGATGTTTTTGGTACAATTAGTGTGGAGATGGACTCGTATACCTCGGGCTACACATCTTCGTTGGCAGCAGTATCAGCTTCAGATTCCTTTGCTCCACTTCATGATGCAGACAGATTTATTTGCTGCTTATTGTGCAGTTTTAAGTCATCTCTAGGAGTCTGCCTGGTTGCTATTTACACTGTTCACTTTTCCTGTTTCCCATTCTGCTGTTCTCCACCAGAGTAGTTCATTGGACATTAGCTGCAGTGGGCATTTCCTTCCAACCACTTTCTCAGGTATTTTACCTGCATCCAGTATTCCACCAGCACCTATCCCTTCTCATCATATCATTGTATCTCTCTTGTAATGCATTCACTACATTCACTTCGTAAACCAGTTACACATATCAATCAGGCAGCATCCAGAACAACACTGAATCCTCCTTTCCCCTCTCCATAAACTTGAACTGATCAGTACATCAACAAACACTGTTTTTGCAGGTCGGCCTTTGACCCGCAATGGCTCATGTACAATTCCTTCACACCATCCTCATATCCTTTCCTAGTGCTATACAGTATAACCATACTGACTTTACACTTTATCCTGATAATCATCTCGCCTCTTTCAACCGTGCCCCTAAAATATGGAAAGTTACAGTTTCCGATATAAGAACAAAAATTATGAGCATCTGATTTAACAGCCCATCCCTCCTATTTTGGTAGTACTTATAGTAACGATGAGAACCATAGTACATATACTGATGTACAACGCAATTAGAAAGTAGAAATCGGTACTACAGTATTGAATTTGGACAAATTAAAGTAACCTAACCTTCCTAGGCCTAATACACACTATCTGAGACATAATATAGTACATGTGAGCACTATAATAGGCCTAGGAATATTTGTTTTTAGTTTCATTTTTTCAGACTATGAAGTAAATAGTACAAAATTTTATCTAAACAGGAGGATGGGTTGCAGCATAATAATTTCCACTTCATTTGCATAGTACTGTATATATACCTTCCTCCCACATTATATATGGTATATTTAACTATGTATTTATATAGAAATTTTCTTTGCTCCAAGTTTCCTCATTCTCCCAGTATGTTATTGAGTAGAATATATGCCAGTTAATAATTTAAATGCATCAGTTATATTATATCAATGCAAGTTTTCCAATGTGCATCTCTTCAAGAAACTGATGAAACTACTTAACTGCCATTCACATATATTTTGTTGAATGGTATAGTCAATCAGTCCTATTTACATACCACCTACTGTATACCTCACCCGTTTCCCTTCTATAGATTTCCCAGCTACGGCTTAACTCTGTGTTTATACCACCTCTGTCCTGTGTAAGACAAAGTCTTATAAAGACTTTTTGCAAACTAATTCACTAAAAAGATTAAACAGACTAAAAAGTCTTAGTCTTAAAAAGTCTAAACAGACAAAGTCTTAGAGCCATCCCATCCATACCCCTTCTTGTTCTTACCTTCCTCTAGGAATTTCCTCCTTCCTGCTCACCACACACTTGCCTTACTCTATGCCTCCCTCACTCCCATCACAATCAGCTTGATAATGGTCCAGGATGGACCGAAACATCGTTGTCTTCTCACCTTCTGGCATGTGGTTTCTCATATCTTCAAGCCACGTTATTGACTCATCGTCTGCACTAAACAAAGTCTAGTATCTGTGCATTGGGTATGTTCAGCCATTAATGTAACCTGGAAGACTAAGAGTAAACTTATCTGCATCTGGAATAATATAAATGTACAGTATTGTACCCTTTACAGGTAACATGAGTGCTATAAAGCCATACGGGCTTAGCCCTTCTCATAATGAATAACAATTTATGTACCGAGCTTTGTTATACATTACAAAATAAATTCATTAACCAATTGTCAATGCACAGTAGCCATCAGAGAATAAAACTTTTAGAGAAAATGGAAATAACTCAATATTTAGTAGTTTTTATTGGTATTAGAAGGCAATAAAGGCACCTGTTGAAATTTATTACTACACAGTAAGTATTTGTTATTGAGAGTTTGAGATATTAATAATGATTGTCCAAGCTATAATTAAGAAACTGGTTACACCAGTTTTTTCTCCAAGTGTTGGTAAATCATTAACCAAAATGTTAATGAAAATGAAAATGCAATCGGGAGGACAAAATAAAATGGGACTATCATTTAATTAAAATATTCCTGTGAGAATCAGGATTTTGGTTTAAAACCAAGGTAATAGCACAATACAAAAGATATCCTATCTTAATGAACATGTATGACAAATGACTTCACAGTGATAGCAAGTAGTACGTACAATACCGGCCCATGTCCAAGTTTCTAACCTGTATTTATTAGTAATATTACTCCATTCTTATCATATATGTATTTTTGCACATTTTATTTGTGACAATTATTATTTTATAGTTTCTGCCAATGCTCTCCAACACACACAATCACTTTGAGACATGTGAATACTATATATCACAATTAGCTTCAAATATTAAACACATCGACACGTGTCAAAGTGCAAACAGCCTGCATTTCATCGTTAAGCCAATAACAAATTACTGTACCATTTAAAAAACAACAATGGCAATTACAAAAAAATTTGTTTTGTACTTTTATGGCAGGACTTATCACAGCACTATTGACTCCAGAAACTATAAATAAATTTTAAAGTGTTTTAAAAAGTATAAATTTAAATTAATTTATCAAAACAATGTGGCATTATAATATGCTAAATGCACAGTCACTTTTGTACGAAGAGATGCATAATGCCACATCTGAGAAATGTTTCATTAAACCTAATAGCACAAATTTATAGCAGTAAGGCACAAATGCACACACACACCGATGGACTGATAGACAGACACCATCGTGATTATTAAAGTCAAGTTGGTTTGAATATTCTACTAAAAAATGTATGCATGGTCTTCATGAAATTACAGTACTGTACAGTATATGCCTAAGCTATGCACATATAATTTTACATTATTTGATAAGTATGTGTACTGAAGATATAATTATTGTTAACAATTTGTAATTAAATAATTATGCACATTAAACAAATGGAGTTACTTATAAAAATAAAATTATAAGTGTAAATTAGTCAAATTAAGTCTTAATAAGAATATGCAAACGAAAACTTTAGTTGAAATCAAATCAAAAGTTAACTTCAATCAGTATACCGACTTGGAGATGCAGATGGAAATTAGAGAATTTGATTCTCTAATTCAGTGAAATTGGACAAATTTCCACCATCAAATTATAATTGATACCATTAAACTTTATATAACTTCAAATATCGGATTGGAAGAACTCATCGTTTACAACCATGTAGACATCTTTACACTTCTAAAAAAAAAAAAAAAAATCTTGATAAGGTCTTTCAAGTTGAACCCATAAGATGGTCACAATATATTTTTTCCACAAACAGTTCCAGCAAAGCCACCAATATCTCCACATTATTGCTTCAAAATAACTTACACTAATAGAGGTTCTTCTGTAGGTATTCACATTCCTAACTCGGTTATCAAATCTATTGCAATTCGTAAGGAAGAAAGCATTTAGTTTCTTCTTCTTATGCCTTTAAACTTTAAATAAGTACTAATTAGGAAAACAAATATCATTATCATGCAAAACCAATGCAGTTATTTGAACAGCTGCATGTACAAGATGATTAAATTTTAATAAAACATGGCAGATACTAGAAAAAGCATGTTCATGCATGTGAAATACAGAAACATCAACATAAAGATACTTCATCATTGCAGATGAAAAGTCACAATAATGTGGCTGAAAAATGTTGACCAAACCACACACTAGAAATTGAAGAGACGACAACGTTTCGGTCCGTCCTGGACCATTGTCAAGTTGACTACGACTCAATAATGGTCCAGGACGGACCGAAACGTCGTCGTCTTCTCAATTTCTAGTGTGTGGTTTGGTCAACATACTTCAGCATTAACAACATATACTGCAACTTATTTACACTCTGGTTAAAATACTAGTAAATGCAGAAATCATACTAACAAATGTCAAACTTCAGGCTGAAATGAACATAAGCACATAAAATGTCAATATTAATACAAATATTCTAAACAACATGTGGGTTCTATGGAACTACCATTGTCCACTGTGAACACCTAGCACATTAAAGCTTTAATACAGAGAGCGAGAACGAGCCCTCCTTCACTAACCAGTCTCCATTTGACGAGTCTTTATGATTTGTAATCTCTACTGTAAAGAGAATAACCCTTAATTAGACCAATGAAAGCCATGAGATTTCTTTATACGAAGTTTAGAATCTGTGAAGGATTAAAATATATTAAAAAAATATATAATCTTTAAATTTATATATACTGTACTGTATAGTTTAAGGAGACTACATTATATTGCATTTACTTCATGAATCTTTTAAATGCCCCATTTAAACGACAAATGATGTATCGTCCTTTCTTACCGTATTATTAGGGCACCTTTTCTCATTTGGTTTGCTAAGGTTTGAAGTCCTTCAGTTATATTTACTGATAATTATAAATGTTATCATGTTTTGAAGTTCCAAGTGTTATTTAGGAACTTGTATTACTATCCATATAACCTTGAAAAAAAATTTGGATGGCATACTTCTTTTACTTTGATCATTATAGTACAGTATTTGTATACATTTAGTAATGTGACTTCAGCGGAGGACTGATATTTCTAAGCATAATTTGGCACATACAATAAGAGGAGTTCCTCTATTTTAGATCTGTTCACATTTGATATGGTACACAGTATAGTACTTAGTTCTCAGAGTCTGGACACAAAGAGGCACTTACCATTTTCTTCTTGAGGCACTTGAGTTACAGGTATATGCACTTATTTATCGAGAGCATTGCACTTGGCTTGCCCTCACTTCTCCTGACTTACAACAATAGCAATTCTAACCTCGGTTTAGGCCTATTACTGTATTTTGTTCTGAAGAAGGTAGTTTTCCAGATCGGCGATTTCTTCAAGACCTTTTGTGATGCTTAGTGAGTGTTCTTATAGCGGGTGAAAAGGTTGTACAAAACTCTTAGAGTCGACTTGAGATCAGCATTTACAATATCTGCAAAATTAAATTAGCAAAATGAGTGTTTTAACACATGGAATATTGTATTTTGTGTATGACGATGTGGTTCAATACAGTATTAATATATTGACAATCTCAATCAGGAAATAAGTAAATAAACGTGAAGAAAGAGTACTCTAATTAGGTTAAGATATTTAACATTAGAGTTATTCCCCAAGAAATGTGTGTACAGTAATCTTAAAATGTCTTTTCTAACCTGACTTTCACTTATATGTTTAGATTGAAAAATATGTGAATGTGTAAACAAATCTGATTATCTTGGTGAATAATATTGGATCACCTTAGGACAGTGGTTTCCAAAGTGAACGACACAAAGCCTCGAGCATCAATGGAATCGAGTTGGGGAGGGGAAAGGTGATAAATGTCTAACGGTAACAAAAATAATTATCAAAATTTATTATATATAAAAGCAAAGAATAGCAGAGCAAGTTTATATTTTTCATATAAGACAGAAAATTGACCTAATGATTACAGTAATACAGAGAGAAAAGTTACATACAAGTTACATGGTATATGATTATACCAGCCACAAAGTCATAGAAGCAATTATGAAGAAGGAATTGGAGCCTATTTGTCAGTGCCGCCTAGCCTCCTGTTTTGGTAGTACCAGTACTTATTGTTGGAAATTTCCAACACCGAATACAACACTGTTGTATTCTCATTACTTATTACTAACTCTACTAATTATTGTAGTAAGTAAAATTAACACCACGTAGAATTCTCATGTACTAATAATTTCATCTGTGCAGTAGGCTAGAATTCTCACGTCACCCGACGCCAATATTGCGTCAGATTTCATTACAATAAACACATTATATCCAATGTATCTGAGAATTAAATTCGATTCTCTATAACCAAGGCATTCTGTGTGATAATTAATTACAGATAAATTGACCTCCAACTAAAAGCCGAATAGAGCGTTAGTCATAGCGGTTATCTAGTAATAAAAGTTAACGTCACAAGTGAATGCCATGGAGAGACATTAATTCCTCTTCCTTATATGTTTACTATCACTAAATTGGCAAATAATAATATTTCCCTCTTCTAAATAATAAACCCGTCCAGTCTCCAACATTTCAAGCATAAATGCGAGAAATACTAATATTCATGACAATAATTTGTCTAATGAATGTGAGACGCGGCGTGGGTGGAGGAGGCACGCCAGTACACGTGGATGGAACCTCTCGAGCAGACCTGTCCTCATCGTGCTCACGAGGAGACGCCATTGCCCAGTCATCGGGGTAGACGTTATCCATCCTCAGATGAAAGTCGCCACTGTGAGGCGTGAACAACCTTGCAGATAATATCTTCAACTGGTGTCGGTGTAACATAAGGAACCTTTTTAATCTGGTTCTTGACTACACGTGACCGGCCAGTGAAGCGCGCCATTATCCAGGATAGGCTGAAGCCAGAGCCTGGGACGCGAATTTCGGCAATCTTAAAACTTATACAGTGCCCATATTAGCTAAGTATCTTCTCCTTATTTGATGCATCCGGTAAGGTGTAGTGTAGTAGCTGGGTGATTGACCGTGACGACGTATACCAACACCAAACCACAGGTCATTACCCATTATCGCCTGTAAATCTTAATTTCTTGAACATAGAGATTCAGTAGTTTAATTAGTTGCTACTGTAAATATTTGTTTTGCAGCACGTGAGAAGAATTCTCCCTGCCGCCTTCTCCCATGTTAATCCATCCCACTCGTCAGCCAGCCGAGCCCAGGGAATTAGAGGAAGCGTCGTGGCTTACACAAAGGAATCGTCATTAAGCTAAGATTCCTTTGTATTCATTTATTAAATTTCTGAAATTGCTTACATGCAGAATTCCTTTGGATTAACATGTGTTTATTGTGATTATCATTATTATACTTATAATCTATGTTCCCATTCATGGTAATGACATTGGTTTCACTATAATTCATAGGATTAGATTATTATAATTTGGATTAGTGAACGAACCACACTAGTTCCTGGACGTACTGAGTTCCAGTAATAACCCCCCAATGTAGGTGTTTGAGGGTTTGATTCATTTAATTATACAGCCCATTAATTATTTCTATGATCATATTCTCTAGTATTTTATCCATAGTTACTGGTTCATCTAGGAATTATCTAATGATCAGAAATTCTCAGTTTCCCTCTTTACTATAAAAGCGGGTGGTCCTTCGTAATTTAATTTACTACATTAATATTTAAATAATCAGATTCAAGCCCCAAATGTCCCACATTATGGTCCTTATCGAACCGGATAGGCATTAAATTTATAATTAAAATATTAATCATTAATAACTAATCCTTGTGTGATAGAAGCTAGACTAACTATTTAATTAATTGTGTCAACTAACAGTGTAACACATCAGTTAGCCTAGATCACACTAACATATTGCTACTTTCACCTCATGTATAAGGTAGCTTTAGTGGGTCATAGCCAATTACCCACAACACTTAGACCTATACCTCACACAGAGGTGAGAATCTTTAGGTCACCAGGAGCAACAGCTCATAACTTTTATAATAACCCCACCCTAACACCTGCGTTAGAGTGGCCTCACCATCTAACCATTATATACTTAGGTGGTAATGACATCCACCCCACTCGTCATCCAGCTGAGGTGATCAAACACCTCAAAGCCATAATTTCTTCTTTCAAGCTCATCAGTGAATCGGTAGTATTCACATTAGTGGAACCTCGCCAACCAAGTCAAGATAATCGTTGGGGAGTAACCCCAGAATACTACCTGAGAGCTGCTAAGTACATAAATTTCAGGCTGAAAAAACGAGTGAGATTGGATGCCACATATATCCAATTTACAGCCAGACCTTACAGACAGAACCTGACCAGAGATGGTGTATACTTGTCAGGGGAATCTAGGTTGCATGTGGTTGACAAGTTAATTAACACCATCAACCATCACAAACGGCTGTGGCTAGCAAGCCAAACTTAACTGTACATAATTGTTTCACCTGTGTGTGCAAGAGCACTCTTATAAAACAAAAAACCCAAAAATACAGCACAACTATATTCACCTTACTGCACCACAATAATCTTTACCCATGTTATTAGGTAGAATTTAGGCTGAGATTGTGCTGTACAAGCCCAGAGTAAATAACTTTATAGTTCTTAGTTAGGAATTATTACGACTAGATCTAAGCTAGTCAGTGTTGTATGTATTATATTATTTGTGCTGACCCTATACAGGGTGGGATTAAATTTTTGAGATAACTCTGATTGGAGTGTCTCCATAATATTTCTTTTGTATGCATTATTTTGTGTATATATTTTGTGTATTGCTGGATAATCTCCATTAACTCTGATGGTGATATAGATGAGCTAACCGGACGAGAACTAATGGTGAAGTTCAGACAGTGCACAAAATATCTAGCTATTTGTTGTTAGGTAGGTAGGTACATTCAACCTCAAGTGAGGAAAAATATAAAGTAGCCACCTTAAATTAGGCTACAATTAATGTTACTTATTCACTAATGAACAAGTACCCAAGCTTCATTAGTAATACATATACTAACACTGTGAAGTTTGAACCTAAGCCCAACATGGCTACTCCTGAGCAATTGAGGAGAACCTACATTGGCCTTAAAGGTCATTTGACCAGATTAATTAATAAGGCTGAGGGCTTAACTAAAGATACTCCCATTGACTCTTATCACTTAGAGACATCAGTTAGAGTGGCTGATCTGAAATTTGATCAAGTCAGATCTGCAGGTCAATCTTACCTTGATCTGCTAAATACTGTAGAAACTGATCCTGAGGAATTAAGTCAAATTGTAGACGACATCTCCCAGTATGAAGATGAGACTCAAGATATAATTATCAGGCTAGCAAATTATCTAAATTAGCAAAACAATCTGGATCCAATACCAGTAACACTGGGTCTCACTTCATTAATCAACTACCCGAGGTTCGTTTACCTACTCTAGACTTGCCTACATTTTCAGGATTAGATACAGAAAATTGGGACAATTTTTGGACTTCCTTTGAAGTTCACATCCATAAGAAACCGTCTCTAGACAAGGTTTCTAAATTTTCATACCTACTTAGTCTTCTCACAGGAGAGGCTAAAAAGGTCATACATAACCTTACTCTTAATGAGAGTAATTATGAGGAAGCTATAAAACTCCTGAAGTTGAACTATTGCAACAAAGAGTTAAGTATAGCTACCCTCTATTATCAATTGCTAGATCTGAATGCACCAAACAGTAGACCAGAGTCACTTCAGAGCTTCAGACTAGAAGTAGAGTCTCTAGTAAAGGCCTTAGGTACTAAAGTTAATATACCTGCTTCAGAATGGTCTATCAAGTTACTATTACAGAGGAAATTACCTCGAAATGTCTTGACAGAGCTCTGCTCACATTATAATACCGAGTTTCTCACTCTCGACCAAATTTTCGAGGGGTTGAGGATCACAGTTAACAGGTTAAAGACTCATGATAAAATTAAACCTGAGTCTAAACCAACTAGTGCTGATATTTCAGTCAAACCTAAACAGACTCAGAGTAAGTCTAATAAATATAAATCCAAACCACCTCCATCCACTGGGAAAAGAAGTGGAAATGTAGGTACATATTCGGTGTCTCCTTCAGAGATAACCAATGACTTGTCTACTAAAGAGACTAAGTCTATTAACCAGAGAAAGTGTCTGTTCTGCAATCAGGAACACACCACTTATCAATGCTCTGTTTATCCTACTTATAATGTTAGGGTTAAAAGGTTACAAGAATTGCACAAGTGCACCAAGTGCATGGGCTCTCATGATCCCAAGAAATGTGCAGTGCAGCTAGGTTCCTGCAACCGCTCTAACCAAGGTGTACACCACTACGCCTTATGTAGAAAATCTACTACACCAACCATGACCACTGGAGAGAATTCTACAAATTCTACTGCAGTACAATATTGCAAAGTGCATCACGAAGTAAATGTACTTGCTACTGAGTCAGGCAATAATACTACTTTGCCTACA